GTGTGGGAGGCAACCAATCGATGTGTCTCTCACATCGATGTTCCTGCCACAGAATTTTAGTGAGATGAAAAAAGTTGTAAATCACTGACCTAGATGAAATAAGTTGTAAATCACTGACCTGGATGAAATAGACTAATTCCTTGAAAGTTACAATCTGCCAAAACTAACACATAAAGACAATCTGAAAAGACCTTTAATTACTAAAAAATATTGAATCAATAATGAATAACCTTTCAAAACTAAAAATACCAGTTCCAGATGGGTCCACATATGAATTCTATCAAACATTTAAGAAAGAAATTATATCAGAAGATGAGGATAAATACCAAGTCTAAATAAATAGTCTTCATTCGAAGATAAGTCATAATGTTGAGGTGGGGGAGGAAATAGAAGTAAATGAGAAAAATTACCCTTTGAAAAATGGTGGGCAAGGGAAAGGGAACATCATTCTGAAGTCTCAAAAGAAAAACCTCCGAAAATGACTTTTATAGGAACCAGATAAGGTCATTAAAATGATAGGTTAAGAAAAAAATATTTTTAAAACATTACACGTTAATTGAAACATTATTCCACTTGTTTTGATTTCACAAGAGAGTAGATTAACAAAAATGACTAAAAACTTTAAGAACAAAGATCATGAAAAGTATTGAAGATGGGTGGTGGTAATGTCTGCATAACAATAAGAATGTAATTAATGCCACTGAACTGTACACCTATATCATTCAAAATGATAAATTTTATGTACTTCATAATTTTAAAAATTAAAAAAAAAAGAGATCAACACATACAAAGAAACTTAAGACTACTGCCCAGCTGCACTGAGCTAAGATTTAGGCTTGCAAAGGAATGCTCACACTGAATCTTTAAATCCCAAACTAGACATCCTTTCACAATGATGAATTATTTAAACCTTTTCTTGAATGTAGCCACAAACAAAGCTTCTTCTCCTAAGAGAGGGAGATCTCCTATAGCACATGCATGCCCCGAATACTGAATATTCCTCCATCTGACTCTATTAATCAGGGATCTAATTTTGCTCTCAAAGCTAACTAATCAATGTGCTCAAATTACATAAAATAACAAGTCTCTGATACAGAAGAAGAAAACACAATTCAATTACTGCATTTGAAAACTTCTAGAGACTGGTTAAAAGCACCTAGTACCATAAAAATGTAATATATTATTCCATAAACGTTTCAAAATAGCATATTAGTGTCAGTACAAGTACTGTAAATAGTGCCAAAAACTGGTTGTCTTTGATGACATGAGCCTAGTATACAAAGGGACCACAAACCAACTCTCTTCTCTCCATAGTTAATGGCTCTTTGGTCATTAAATCTTATTGACTCTACCTCAAATAAGCCTCTGATTGTGTTAAATTAATTTCCATTGTCTTAAGTCTGGTTCAAACACCTAGACCAGACTCTTCCAATGTAAATAAAATGCAAATCACATACACACTTCGAAAATTTTCTCTTTACCACATTTGAAAGAAAAAAAAAATAGGTAAAATCAAAATTTTGATAGTATATTTTATTTAATCCAATATATAAAAATATTGTCAATATGACATATAATCAACATAAAAAATTATTGATGAGATTTTGACTTTCTTTTTTTCATACTTTTTTTTTTTTTTACGGTTGAAAGTATTACAAATGTCCCCCTTTTTCCCTACTGACCCTTCCTTCCTGCTTCCACCTCCCTCCTGCCTTCCCTAACCTAGTGTCCAAGTCAACTGGTTGTGCATATATGCCCATAAGTTCTTTGGTTTATTTATTCCAACCTCCCATGCCTCTGAGGTTTCTCAGTCTGTTCCCTACTTCCATAATTCTGGATCTCTTTTGGTCAACAGCTTATTTTGTTCATTATATTCCACAAATAAGTGAGATCACGTGGTACTTGTCTTTCTCTGTCTGTCTTATTTCGATTAGCATAATACTCTCCAGGTCCCTCCATGTCATCTCAAAGGGTAAGAGATCTCTTCTTTCTTCATACTAAGTCTTTGAAATTCAAGATCACAATTCAGATTAGTTAAATTTCAAGTGTTTAATAGCCCCACTAGAAACAGTATAGACCTGAGACCACCAGGAGTTATCAATACTGGCTGCATTATCAGATTGCTTTTCATTTATTCAGTAAACGATCTTATGAGTTCCAGGGTCTGGAGGTGTACTTGTAAACAAGATAAACCTCTTCAACCTGCAACTGACATCCACATGCTCTAATTCCTATACTCTGGGCACACAGCCTCACAGCAGTCCTTTAAATAAAGTAGGTTCTCAAACACAGTAGTCCTTAAAAACTCTTATTGTTATTGTGTTGGGTTTTTTCTTCTTCCTGGACTCACCCCTTCCCTCCCTTCATCCCATTTATCCTTCATACCCAGTACAAAATGTTTTTTCCCTCTGTCAAGTGCTCTCTGGTTCTCTAGAAGTTACTTATTCCCTCCATTTGTTCAATTCTCTCTGACATACCATCACATTCTATAGAATTACATAATTCTATAGAATTATAGAATTTATTTCTCCATAAGATCCAGGGTTATCATCCTCATAACTCAGACACATTGGATTAGAGGTCAGTGGCAGAGAAGTGGTAAAATTACACTTAATGTGTGGAAAATTACACACACAATTTAACTACGCTCTGTTATCTATGTTATAGCTATCCCAACCGAAACGAAATCTAATTTTCCCATAGAAATCCATTACATGAAAATTAAGAGTCACATGCATTGCAATAGAAATTATCACAGAAATGATTAGCAGCTGTTATACTGTTATCACTCAAAATAATGAATACCCTAGTACAATAGCTTACTAACAGTCTTTTTGTTGTTGTTGTTTGGATAGTAAATTCCCTAAAACCTGACTATTCTTGAATCTTGTGACTCTATCCCTTAGGTGTTAATGAAGCTCAGTGCCTTTGAGGGCTTTCTCATCTAGGGAAAGCAAAAATCAGCTTTAAACTTCCTAATAAAATGCCAATTTTGCTGTCTACTAGGTTAATATGCTAAATATATAAACCTTTATGATCAACAACACACACCTAGATACTCGTTAAGTACCTAAATCTCCACTGCAAATGTTCATCTCCTATTAAGAGCCTAAATGCAATTTATATTAGAGAGAAAAGGCTAAGATCCATTCTAATATCAGTTCATACCATTTATTAAAGTCATAGAATAGTCCGTCACGTTACTTGTCTTATATTTATTTTCTTCACAGCAACACACTGATATAGCTATCACCTCCACTTGACAGATAAGGAAACTGAATGAAGTAGAGTTAAATAATCCCTAAAGTAATTTGTTCAGAATGTAAATTCGAGATGTTTGTCCTTTACATTAATCTTTGCCTGAGACAATGGTTTCTTAAATACCACACCACCTAAAGCACAAGAAACAACAAACATTTAGGTAAATTGGATTTCCTTAAATTAAAAATATTTGTGCTTTAAAGAATACCATCAAGAACATAAAGATAACCCAAAGAATGCAAGAATTTTTTACAAATCATATAAGAAACTTGTATCCAAAATAAAGAACTCTTATAAATTAATAAGACACAATCCAATTAAAAATGGGTAAAGAATCTAAATAGACATTTCTCCAAACAAGAATGGCCAATAAGCACATGAAAAGATGATCAACAATATTTTAGCCATCAGGGAAATGCAAATCAAAGCTATAATGGGATTACCACTTCACACCCACTTAAGATGGCTATAATAAAAAAGTTAGATAATAACAACTGTTGGCAAGGATATAGAGAATTGGAAATCTCATATACTGCCAGCAAGAACAAAATGGTGCAGCTGCTTTGGAAAACATTCGAGCAGTTCCTCCAAAGGTTAAATGTAGAGGTTAAAAAGGTTAAACCGTGACTCAGCAATTCTACTGCTAGATGTAAACCCAAGAGAAATGAAAAATACGTCCACACAAAAACTTGTATATTAATGTTCATAACAGTATTATTTTATAACAGTCAGAAAGAGGAGACAACCCAAATGTTCAACTGATGAATGAATAAACAAAAGGTGATATATCAAAACAATGGACTCTTATTTGGCAATAACAAGGAATAATATATGAATACACCCTATAATCTTTCATGAACTTTGAAAACACTGTGCTAAGTGAAAGAAGCTAGTCACAAAAAAAGAAACCAAAAAACATAAACTGTATGGCTGCATTTGTATGAAATATCTGAAATAGGCAAATCTACAGTGACAGTAAGTTGAATAGTGGTTGCCTAGAGCTTCAGGTCAATAGCAGGGATAAGGGGATGACTGCTAAAGGGTATGGATTTTCTTTTGGAGGTCATGAAAATGTTCTAAAATTGACTGTGGTGCTAGCTGCATGACTATGAATATACAAAAAATCACCAAAGTGTATACCTTAAATGGGTGAACTGTACAGCATGTAAATTGTATCTCAAATCTGTTACGACTTCCATTCCTGACAAACACCTGTGTCCTTTCATTCAATAAACTACATCATAAATTGTGTTTCTCTTTTGGCTTAACTGCCAAGAAATCCATCATTAAATTTTGTGATCACATGTGCTTTCCTTTACCTAAGTTTCCTAGTTCAGTTTCTGTCACCACCATGCCTTGTTTTCATTGTTTCAGTTTAAAATTGTTCTACTTTAAGCCACGTCAATTGTTCTCAGAAGCAGGAAGGATGGCTGGCTAAACTCTGAAAACTTAAGAATATGTTTAGATATTCACGATGCCTACCAAGGTAAAGAAACTCTAAGAAGTTCAGCTTGAGCTCTACCAACGAATTCCCTTTATTTTAACTACTACCAAGAAATGAAACAGTCAGAGAATTATGAGTTTGGAGGATATTCCTCCCCTAAATACATTATCTACATAGAACATTATAATGCAATGTTACAATTTACCATATACTTATCACACAGGATATTTAAAATGGAACATATATGATAAGTTACTGCTGAAATTTAATTTTACTTTGGGAAATTGAATCCTACCCTAACAGGTGAGGATGATTCCTCTGTATTCCGTTTCTGGGACTCAGTGTCCACATCTTGGCGCTTGTTCTTCATTCTTTCTCTAAGATCCCCTGTAGGCCTTTCTGGTGACCTTTCAAAACAAAAACAAAACAAAAACAAAAACAGCAAAAATCTACATTTATATATCATTTTATATGAATACATTTGCAAAAATCGTCCAGATGGTATGGTTCAGTGGTTGAGCATCAACCCATGCACCAAGAGGTCGCCGGTTCAATTCCCATCAGGACATGTGCCCAGGTTGTGGGCCCGATCCCTGGTGGGGGCATGCAGGAGGCGGCCAATTGATGTTTTCTCTCATTGATGTTTCTCTCTCCCCCTCTCACTTCCTCTCTCTCTAAAATTTCTAAAATCTCTAAAAAATTTCTAAAATCTCTAAAAAATTTTTTCAAAAGAACATTATTTGCAAAAGTAAACTCACACATCTCAATATAATTTTTCTAACTGTCCCTGGCTCCTAAATTTCAGAAAAAAATAATTAATTTGTTTCAGCTTAACATTAACATATACAAAATATGATCACTTAAAAGTTTTCTCCCTCAAACTATACTTTAAAATTCCATGGGGTGGCAAATGCTGGTAATATGAATAAGAAACTATATATGAGCTGAGAAAAAAACAATTAGTAATTAACAGCTTAATTAGTATTACATAAATACACAGGGAGTGACAAAAGTAGGTTTATAGTTGGTCATATGAAAAAATACAATAAATAATAAATACTAATACAAGAATAAATTGTATTTTGAGTACTCCTAACCATAAACCTACTTTGCCCCACCCTCTTTTAGTTATACTTAAAAACAAAAAAGTAGGAAGATAAAGTTTTTAAAACACAACACTGAAAAATTAATCTAAAAGCAACAGTGTTATCATATACACATGTATGTGGTTGGATATGTCAGCAACTGAGAAAATATTTGATGCATCTTAAGAATCAAAGTAAAACAGGAGTTTTTTGTGTTATTCTTATAATTTTTCTTACGTTTAAAATTATTTTATAATGAAAATAAAGGATCCATAACACTTATTTTATATTCTGCTCTGGATTTTTTTTAATTAAGGAAAAATATACATATTTATGTTCAAAACTGGCAAGGCTTCATAGTTTAAATTGGAAATTTGATAAACGGCTGTTAAATTATTTCACATACTAAGTAAGAAAAACAAAACAGATAGAAAACATACTGCCTTTAAAGAATATTCCTAGAATACCTTTAAAAGAGGACAATAAGTTAAAAAATATGTCCCTCTTTAGCCATCAAAAAATACTATATATAATATTTTTAAGATACAAATCACATAAATATTCACATCTATTTCAAGTAATAGCTGATGAATCAAATTAATACCTTTATCAATGATTCATACAAATCATATGGTTAGTGAAGAAATAATTTCAGGTAATTCACTTCAAAGGATCTCATTGACATTTACATGTATATTTTATAGATCTATATTAAATGTTTTAACAGTTAAAGCTGAACTTAAAAATGGAACTACTTACTAACCAGAACATAAATTCTTTAAACTACAATTATGATGTACATGTACATTTTTATGTGTCCTGGTTTCCTGTATATAACACGAATTTATTGTAAACTTGTTTCTATCCTAAATAGCACCTAACAGAGTATTCTACACACAATGAACACTCAATAAAGGACTTAAATGCCTTTTTTTTTTTTTTATCCTCACCCGAGGACATTTTCCCACTTTATGTTCAGATAGAGTGGGAGGGAGAGAGAGAGGAAGGAAAAGAGAGAGAAACATCAACGTGAAAGGGACACATCGAGTGGCTGCCACCCGCACTACCAACCAGGGCCAGGACAAACTGCAACCGAGGTACGAGCCCCTAGCGGGAACTGAACCCGGGTCTCTCCGGACCGCAGGCCAACGCTCTAACTGCTGAGCCAAACCGGCCACGACTGACTTAAATGTCTTTTGACTAAACAAGCATATCTGAAATGCACTGCCTTTCTTTCCATCTTTAAATCACATTATGAACTATTTTTCTTCCCTAAAAAAAAAGGTAAAATACAAGAGAAGTTATCAGATAAAAGAAAAAACACACAAAATAGCAAAATTGTAACAAAAATTCCTTTATTCTAAGTCTAGTATAATATATATATTTTTTTGCATTTTAGGCAAATTTTTTTGCCATTTTCCTCAAAACTGTCTCTTGTATATAAATTGTGAGTCAGTTAATAATAAATTTCAAAGATGAATTAAAGCATGTATTAGAAATGTAGTAATAATATAAAAAATTAGAATTATTGAAATAGTTTCCCAGGTATGTGTTTATACAGGTAATTAAACTTATGAAGACTAATTTCTTTTTAATAGACAAATGATAATCTAAATGCAAATATGACAATATTCAGCATCACAACCAAAATATACAATATTTAAGTGAACAGAACATTTGAATTTAAATCTATTAAATTTCAAAATCTATACACACACACAAAAACTCACCCAATCAAAAAAAAAAAAAAAAAATCTCCAAATGGTTCCATTTTTATACTACTCCTGTAGTCAAAGCATTCAGCACACCCAATTTTAAAATGACGTAATTTCTTTACCAATCAAGTTTAAACTCATTTTGTGACAATATTTATGTAGGCTACATCTTTAAACACCACAACAAAAATTATTATAAGGGAACCAAAAGAAAATAAAAAGTCCTTATTAGGAAAGATAATTTAGTTTGGCCTTTATTAAAGGCAACATGATGTTCTAAATATGTACATTTATCTTCATATAAATAAATACCTATTTTCATTTACATTAATACATTGTGAGATAAGGACTTGGCAAATGCATTTTAACCTTTAGAATTTGCATTAGATTATCTTTTGTCATTAAGATTTAAATTTAGAACATCTTAAAAAGCTAAAATTATATCGTATTTAAATTTTTAAAAAATTCTGTCTTAAGCAGCAGTTTAATACATAATTGAGGAGGAAGTAAACCACACATATATTATAATAAAGATCTGTCAAAACAAGTAAATATTGAACTTCCGGTCAAGATGGCTGCGTAGGTAAATCCGGTATCACATCCTCCCACAACCACATCAAAGTTACAACTAAACTACAGAACAACCATCATTCAAAACCGCCTGAAATCGAGCTGAATGGAAATCCTACAACTACGGAATTAAAGCAGCAGCCACATGGAGACAGGTAGGAGGGGCGGGGGCGGGGGGCCTGGGCCCACACCCACATGTAGTGGATAAAAATCAGGAGGACACCTCGTCTGGCAGGGTCCTCCCTGAGGACTGAGGGGTCCCCGTCCCACACCAGATGCCCTGCTCAGGGTTCCAGTGCCAGGAAGAGAAATCCCCATAACTTCTGGCTGGAAAAAACAGCGGGAACTGAGGCTCAGGGAGCCAGAGGCGGCTGGAGCCCCAGGCAGCTCCTTAAAGGGCCCGCACACGGACTTATTGGACTCACTCCCTCTGAGCTTGGAGGGGAGGCAGCTTGAGGGGTGCCACATACAGAGAAGAACTGAGCAGTTTGGCACTGGAGCGAGGGCTGGAGAGGGGGCTTTCTCTTGGACAGGCATGCTATCAGAGGCCTTTGTTCCTTTGGTGAGCCCTTGCCTGGGGCGGCAGATAGCCGCCATATCTGGGACTCCAGCCGCCATATCTGGGACTCCAGCAACCTGGCTCACACTGGTAGCCCCACCCTGGTAATTCCCTGAGGCCCTGCCCCACCCAACTTTCAGGCCCACCCAAGCTGTTGCCACTTGCTTAACCATAGGATTGGCCTGTCTTGGATCCTGATTCAGGTTTTCCTAAATTCTTTCAAACAAGCAGCATTTGGTCTCAGCTAGCCCCATACCTCTCATTTAGTAATACACTGAAACAAACACAGGGAGGCAGCCAAAATGAGGAGACAAAGAAACAGGTCGCAAATGAAAGAACAGAACAAAACCCCAAGAAAAGAACTAAGCGAAATGGAGATAAGCAACCTAACAGATGCTAAGTTCAAAATACTGCTTACAAGGATGCTCAATGAACTTAGTGAGGGCCCCAAGAGCATAAAAAAGGACCAATCAGAAATTATGGATGCACAGTCAGAAATGAAGGAAGCATTAACTGAAATAAAGAATAATTTACAGATTCAATAGTAGAGTACGTAAATCCAAGAAGCAAAGTATCGATTTGGAATATAAGGAAGCAAAAAACACCCAATCAGTACAGCAAAAAGAAAAAAGAATCCAAAAATATGAGGATAGCGTAAGGAGCCTCTCGGACAACTTCAAGCGTGCCAAGATTTGCGTCTTGGGGGTGCCAGAAAGAGAAGAGCGAGAACAAGAAATGGAAAATCTGTTTGAAACAATAATGGCAGAAAACTTTTCTAACTTGGTGAAGGACACAGACATACAAGTCCAGGAAGCACAGAGAGTCCCAAAGAAGATGAACCCCAAGAGGCCCATACCAAGACACATCATCATCAAAATGCAAAAGGTTCAACACAAAGAGAGAATCTTAAAAGCAGCCAGAGAAAGGCCGCTAGTTACCTAAAGGGAGTTCCCATAAGGCTGTCAGCTGATTTCTCAAAAGAAACTTTGCAGGCCAGAAGAGAGTGGCAAGAAGAACCCAGAGTGATGAAAAGCAAGAACCTATAACCAAGATTACTCTATCCTGTAAAGCTGTCATTTAGAGTCGATGACCATATAAAGAGTTTCCCAGACAAGAAAAAGTTAATGGAGTTCATCAACACCAAACCGTTATTATATGAAATGATGAAGGGTCTTTTTGAAGAAAAAGATAAAATATATGAACAAACAAAATGGCAGTGAATACATATCTATCAACAATGGAATCTACAGACAAAATGAACAGGCAGAACAGAAACATTCTCATAGATACAGAGAACATTTTGTTGGTTGCCAGATGGGAGGGGGGTTGGAGGAATGGGTGAAAAAGGTGAAGAGATTAAGAAGTACAAATTCATTGCTAAACTGACAAACCTCAAAAAGAAAGGGGTTGGGGTGTGGGAAGAAATAAACCAAAGAACTTATATGCATAACCAATGGACACAGACAATAGTGTGGGAACAGGCGGAAGGGGGGCGGGAGTGGGGAGGAGGGGGTCAATGGGGGAAAAGTGAGGAACATCTGTAATACATTCTACAATAAAGATTTAAAAAATAAAATAAAAAAAGTAAATATTGAATAAGTTAATTTTAAAGCAAATATTTTATTAATCTTAGATTTAATAACTAAAAAGATGTTATCGATCTTTGACTACATATCAGTAAGACTATCACCAAAATAGAAAATCTGACCAAATATATAGTTTTATTTCACATTTTTGTACTAAATAAACTATAAAAGCCATCTTCTAACTGTATATGAAGAAGTCAAAGTTCTCAATTTACCTTCTGTAATTGCTGCTATAACCTTTACCACGGGGTGAAAGGCCATGTACGAATCTACATGTGTTTCCATAGAGGCAGTTGCCAGTCTTCAGCCAGTTACGGCACTGTGTCTAAGAAATAAATATCACTATGTAAAAATTTCATATTTATTTCTGGACCAAAGATGCTAGTGGAACAAAATTAAAACAAATGCTATCAAAATTCCAGCTACCAGAGATATACATTACTCCCCAAGTAAAAAAAACATCAGAGAAAAAGAAAGAAAACCCACAAACCCTATCACCCTTTTCAATTCTTTCAATGAAACACATTTAAAAAAATTTACTGAACCAACATTCTTGCAACAAACGGTTCATCTTTTGATATGAATCAGTATTTCAAGAACAGAAATGCAAAAGAACCCCTGTGATTGTACTAGTGACAACTCACCTCTGCTGTACTGCCAGTGCTGGGTCCCAGCCTCTCAAATACACTGGGTCTTCGGGATGTGCTTTCAGATATGGTCTTTGTATTTTCCACTGTGACTTTCCTTCTAATTTTTGACATTTTGTACTACTTTAACAAAAGAGAGAGAGAAATGTAAAATTCTTCAATTTGAAATAACTGAGCCCATAACTTGCAAGTAGATAAAACTGTAGATAATTGTAAAATAATAAAAAAATTTTAAAAAAAGGACATAAAAGAATAGGAGTGCTCACAAGTAAACAGAGGTAAGCAGAACTTATCTTCTAAGACACAATTTATTAGTCAATTTAAAACTTTGAAATCTGTTGGCTGTAATTTTACCTCTTCTACAAGTGAATGAATACGATTCTAATTACACAGATAAGTTTTCATAGTACATTCAACCTCAAAAAACACACCATCAAATAATTAGTTTCTAAATTCCTTATTCAGGTTGTTTCAATATTTAATAACTATCTTTTAAGGAAAAATTGTACTATCATTTTCCATCTCTTGGTTAACTGAAAAAGAAAGTTATGTCAAAAAATGGGAAAATAAAATCAAGTGAGAATTTTATTGATAATGGAAGTTATGTTTTATACAATTTAAATGACATTAGTTATGCTCTAAAAATAAAATTGGGAGAAAAATGAATATTTAAATATTTTGCCTTACAGTAGTCAAGAATACAGTAATTAAGAATATTTATTTTCCAATAATACAAAAAATCTCCCTCAATGTTGAAAAGATGACTTTCTTTCAAAACAGAACAGGCTATAGAACTAAAAAACGTGAAGGTGTTTTCTATACACTATGCTACATTGACAAAAGTCAAAGGTGCTAAAAGTAATAATCCAGCTATTCCACCATTGCTAGTAACAAGACAAATCATAAATATATTTTACAAAATTAAAAAAAATTAAAACTTGAAACCATAATAGATTACTATCCAACTATGTAATTAGGTAATTCCACTGGAAATGAAAATATCAAAAAGTTGTATGATAGCCCGGCCAGTGTTGCTCAGTGGTTGAGCATTGACCTATGTACCAAGAAGTCAATTCCCAGTCAGGGCACACGCCTATGTTGTGGGCCTGATCCCCAGTAGGGGGGCGTGCAGGAGGGGGCCATTCAATGTTCTCTCTTATCCATGTTTCTATCTTTCTCCCTCTTCCTTCCCCTCTCTCTCTCAAATCAATTAAAAAAAAAAAAAGATATTATTAAAAAAAAGTTGTAAGACATACGTTTAGAAAACAATATTAAATTCTAGATCAAAGGTAAGCTAAAGATTATACTGCAGCAACTGCCTAAGAAAAAAAGTGTTACACTTTATAACACCTAAATATTAGTTGAAATCTTATTAGTCAAAATTAGTTACTAGAATGAACAATGGCCACTAAACAAATAAAAGTTCTATTTGGCACAGAACTGGTCCTATAAAGTTCAAAAATGTTCTTTTAATGTGTTGTAAAGTAAAAGCATATCACTTGAAAGAAAATTCAATCATGGTAGTACCAAATCAAGACTAACAACAACAACAAAAAGTTAACCACATTTGGTTCAGTTAAATACTTCATTTCAGGTCACATTTTAAAAGGATCCCAAGAATAAGGATGATGTTTGACAAATGAACCAAAAGGAAAATATGAAATAATATAGTAGTTTTAAATTTGAAATATAATATAAAATATAATAATTATTTTAATAGCTTTAATATAAAATATAATAATTATTTTAATAGATTAATGGCAATTAATCTTTAGTAATTCAAAGTTAGAAAATAACTTTAAATTACAAATTTTAAAAAATTAGTGTAGTGTCACATAAATGAACAAGAATTCGCTGCAACATAAAATATCAACTGTTCTCCAAGTAAGATACAGTGAACCCTCCATAATGGTGTTAGTATTATAAGACAACCTTTGATTTAACTTTTCTTGGGCTCATTTGCAGCCCAAATGTGAATTTACAGAAGAAAAGCTGGTAAAATTCACGTCTATTTGATTGAACGTAAACAACTAAAAGTCAATATGGGTGGAGATGAGAACAATGTAGAAAATGTAAAGCTGTGAGCCCTTGCCAGTTGGTTCAGCAGTTACAGCGTCACCCTGCGGTCCAGAGAGACCCGGGTTTGGTTCCCGCTAAGGGCACATACCTTGGTTGCAAGTTGTTCCCAGCCCTGGTTGGATTGTGTGGGAGGCAGCCACTCGATGTGTCCCTTTCACATCGATGTTTCTCTCTCTCTCCCTCCCAGTCTATCTGAACAAAAAATGGAAAAATGTCCTCGGGTGAGGATAAACAAAAAAGAAAATGTAGAGCTTTGATTAACTGATAAAATCACTATTTTACAATTGAAAGTGGACAGAATTTGATAAGTAAATATATCACAAAATATATAGGGAAAATCAGAAAAAAAAATTTTTTTAAGTTTCATTATGTTACTATACATATTACATAGATTACAGTGTAATGTTCACTCAGTAGTTTTAAAAACATTTGTTAATAAACTTAAAATAAAATGCATTTTAAAAGTTCCTTATTAGCTATACTAGTTATCTGAAACTTGGAAAAGAGGCACACCATCCCACCACATTGCCTCAAAGAAAACTAACCCTAACCTTACATTTTTTTGCTCCCCACTATCAATTGAAATGGTTGGTTCTGTCCTCAAATTCCTAGTCCAAACATGCCCTCATTCCCAATACACCCTCCTCAAGAGGTAATGGTAGTGTTTTCCACAGTTGGAGCAACATGCTATTCATTATTATATGTACTTGAAACACTGGTTATCTATAATCTCCTTTCTTGTTTATTATTGTACTGGAAACACTGGTAATCTATAATCTCCTTTCTTATTTTTCTGAGTAATCCAGGTATTAACTCTTCCTGTTCTGTAATCTGTTGCTTGGATCAGCACTCTTCTCCTCCCCTGACATACTGCTAGAAAGTAGTCTCACCAATTGGAGATCCCTAACATAAGCCTTGAAGATTTCAAAGGGTTTGGACTGCTATGTCAAAGACAATCAAGTGAGGCAATATGGCCCCTTTCCTTGTATTCTTGCCACTAAAATGGTTCCTTCACACAGAGGCAAAGTTGCTTTTACAGGTGACATATGGAACTACTTAAGATTCACCTACATAGCGCTTATCCCAGAAATTTTACTTCTAGCTACTGTTGAGTCTACCAACTTCAGGAATAACAGCAATGTAGTAAAGATGTATTCTCCTCTTTTCTCAGAGAGTCCACGCAGTATAAGATCTTGCCCTAAAATGATAATGAGTTTGAGTATCAGGTCTAGGTTACAGGAAGGTCCCAGACTTAAAAATAAAAAAGAAAGAAAGGTCTGAAGCAAAAGGGAAAAAGTAGGAACTGAAGTTTTCTAATTGAAAGAAAGAGTAATTCTACTGATTATCTATGTATCTAGGAACTTCCATCAGTAGTTAACAATAACAAGTTATCTAAATATTATTACTGAAACATTCATGATTTTGCATAGATAAATGCTTTATGCTTGCAAAGAATACAAAATATAATCCTTTATATTCTATTTGTCTAAATACATACACATAATCTAAAATACACCAGAAAAGCATTTACTCATATATAGTATAGTAATTAATTAATTTAAAACCATGTTACCAACTAATGTGACTTAATTAGAATTTTCAATCTAAAAATTTGAGCCCACAAAGTAAGATAAATACTACAACACAATAAAATGCAAATCTGACAGGAGGCAGGGAGTACTTTTTCAAGTAATATCTAAACAGGCTTCAATGAGGAGTAAATGCTTCAGAGTATATGAGAAAACTTAGAAACATTAAAATAAAATAAAAACGCAAATATTAAAATCTTCCCTAGCTCAGAGTTTTGAAGGTTTTTTTTCTCCAATTTTGTTTTCCATTTTTCTTTGGTTTTAAGTTAGCATCACACCACATTGTGTCTTTCCCAAACACCAGCATTATCAAAGCCAGAGAGTGACACTGGTGAAAGTCTAATGAGTTATTTTCCTATTTCTCTTCTCCATTTTCAGAGTTAATAGGATCAGAAGTTATATATTTTTTCAATTGAAAAAGAAAAATAAGGGACAAACTTTGAATTATTAAGACACAACAGGCCCTGGCCAGTTTGGCTCAGCAGTTAGAACGTCGACCTGTGGTCCCGAGGGACCCAGGTTCGGTTCCCAATAAGGGCGCAGTTTGTCCCGGCCCTGGTTGGTCGTGTGGGCAGCAGCCATTTGATGTGTCCCTTTCACTCGATGTTTCTCTCTCTCTCTCTGTTCCACTCTCTCCCTCCCACTCTACCTGAACAAAAATGGAGAAATGTCTTTGAGTGAGGATAAAAAAAAAAAAAGACACAACAAAAGGTCTTAATAAATGGGAACTGTTGCCCCCTCAAAAAACTTACAAATATAACAATGTTTGTAATTCATACTATAAATTTGACTGAGAAAGAAAAAACAATACAGTGGTCTCTTTTTCCCCCCCTTTATTGATTTTTAGATAGAGAGAGAGAGGAGGAGAAAGAAACATTTATGAGAGAGAACATCAACTGGCTGCCTCCTGCATGCCCCCCACTGGAGATCAGGCCCACAACCTGGGCATATGCCCTGACTGGGAATCGAACTCGCGACCTCTTGGTACATGGGTCAATGCTCAACCACTGAGCAACACCGGCCAGGCCAGTGGTCTCTTTTTAAACAATTATTTCTGAGGCCTAATCACTGAAATCTTGTCAATCCTTAACTACATCCTTTTGAGTTCTCATCTTCCGATAGCAAAAATGAAAGCATGATCTGATGAGCAGCAGCATAATATTAGTAAATTGTCAAATAATTAAGCAATTAAAACTACATAAATGTGCTAACAGGTAGTAGAATGCCTATCCACTGCAGTTCTAAAATAAAAAGGGTTGTGTTAAAAATGAGGTCTCTTCATATTTGTATTTCATATTTTTGAAAGGAAAAAGTTAGATTTATTTGCTGCATAGTCTGGGAAAATCTTTTAAAAAGAACTTTCTAAAACAATCTTGCAGATTGCTTATATATAGATAGATTAAAATAATTCCAAACTGGATTATGAACAGAACTGACAGAACTAACCTGACTACACAAGTATGAACAAGGCAATACTGTCACACTATGCAGAAAAAAAAAATTTTTTTAAGACTATAAAGAGAAATACACAGAATTGCAACATACAAACTACCAAAAAAAAAAAAAAAAAGAAATAAAAAAAGAGACACTATATATCAACATTTAACATTATCAACCAGTTAACATTTCACCTGTTACTAAGTATCTGTTGAAACAGTTCTCTCTATATGACAAGGAGAGTGGGGTTTGGGGGAGATGGGAAAACTAATGCAGAGAAAACCAATTCTTCAAATATATGTAAGTTAAACAACTTGGCTTTCTATTTGTAAATGCCACTGATAACTTGTACATAAGTTACAACAGCATCCACCTGTTGGTTTACAGATATGGATATTGGATGAATTTTCATATCTTAAAATATGCAAGCAATGTTCATTTCAAACCACCAGTAATTTAAAAGGCATGTATTTGATTAAACTGGACTCTACCAGATCCACAGTCTTAGTTTCATCCTGCAACTGTTTTTATAGACACAAATTGCAACATACGTGCAACATTCTCAGTCTCTTGTTGAAATTGTCATGTTACAATCTAAATATTTCATTAAGAAATTGGAAATTATTTGGAAAAACTACAGATTATGTTCACCAAACTCTCAAAATTATTTTCGCTTAGGTACTAAAGACAGTAATTTCAAATATTACAAAACTCTGCTAATTATGTGTAGACTGTACTGCACAAACATATTTGGATTCTAGCAGTATCGTGAACTTTGAAAACTTGAGCTGTGAAGAGCTTTTTCAATCTTACTATTTCTTTACAAAACCCAAAACCTGAAGAAGTGCATATGCCCATTATTTTCAAAAGAGTTCAAATTATCTGAAAACCTCGCAGAATAACCAGAGCTTGACACAGTCTTACCAATATCATTGAAGCAGTTTCAACTCCGAGTAATTTTGCAGCCACATACATTATTTTGCCTAACATCAAATAATGCCAAACATCAGACCTCTTTCATTACACATTCCCGGTGTCTGCCATATAGTTGCGAAAACTACCTACCTAGGGAATGTGAAGATGATCAAGTTGCACTCCTCAACTCCGAGTGCCTAAGTCGTTAAGTTACCACTGCCGGAAAATAAGAAAGACCAAATACAACGAAAAGTAAGATACTTTTCCCTAATAGGGCAGGAATGCGTAAAAGACGAGCTCCTAAATCTCAAACCACATCCCTGCAGCTTTTCACCGCATTCAAATGCGAATAACACGCAAAGGTTCCCAAGCCCACCTCAAATGGTAATGATTCGGCCTTTCATCCGAATCCACCTGTGCGCATAGACAAACTCGCCAAAATCAGAATGAGGGTGAGAAACGAGGCCTGAGCACAGGGAACTATTGCAGTTAAAAGAGGGATGCTCAAAGGGCTAAAAATCCCGGCGTGTCCCAGGCGGGGAAGGAAGCCAACTCTGGGCCTTCCCATCCAGGATTAGTCCAATGCCTCCCCGCCGAAACCCGCACCAATTCTCACAATTCAAGCTTACCTCCTCCCCGAGCTCCCTTCGCAAGCACAGTCCGGAGGCGTCACCGCCGCCACCGCTCCGGGGAGCGGGGGATGCGACTCTGTCCCCGCGCCTGGCCCCGGGAGGACGACGACAAGGAGAAGGAGGTGCGCGCGCGGCTCCCGGGAACAGGCCCTCGGCTAGCGAGGGATCTCGGGGGCGGCTGAGAAGCGGAACTCGCCAGCCGCTTGGCCAGGATCAAACGGGACTGAGACGCAGAGAGAGAAACAACGACCAGAGGCTGGGGCGTAAGATAAGGGAACGAGAACACCTTCAGCCCCGAGAAGGATCGCCTCACAATGCCGCCGGAAGTCGAGGGTTTGCCTTGTTCCTCTATAAACCCGGGCAGCTTCCGGCTGCCAAATTAGTCGTCAGCACGCAGGCACCGCCCCTTCGTGGACACGGCTCCTCCCACTCCCCGCCCGGGCGCAGTGGAAATTAGCCCTTTGTGAACAATCCCTGGAGAGGAAACCCGGATCCTGGAGCTTCTTACGTTCCCAATCAAAACTGACTTTAAGAAGAAGAGTTTCGCTCTTTTATTACATATGTTTTTTGTCATAAGCGGCTGTTGTAAACGCGGTAGATGCCACATTTGTTGTGGAAAGTAAATACATTCATTCGCTCTACAAAGTTTAATGAACACTGAGCTGGAGCAACCGAAGGTGTTTGTCCTGTTATTGACATCCCTCCACTTTCTGGGTCATTGTCTATTCTTGTGGAACAAAGGGATCGCACGGTTGAGTTTTTAAAGGCACAAGCAGACATCCGTTGAAAATTTGCAGCAAAAAAATTTTTATATATATTTTTTATTAATTTATTTTTGTTACAGATGTTTCTCCTTTCTCCCCCACTGAATCCCCCTCCCCCTTCCTCCCTGCCCTGTCCCCAGCTTTGTTGTCCATGTCCATTGTTCATGTACATGCATATAAATTCTGTGGTATATCTCTCCCCACCAACCCCTCTTCTGAGGATTGTCAGTGTGTACCCCACTTCCACGCCACTAGTGTTAGGGTTAGAGTCTGAGTGCCCCAAGACCCCCAGAGGCCTTTACAGCCAAACCAAGGGCCAGAGAAAATTTTCCACTTGTCCCCAGGTGGAACCTCCTCCCCCTTCTAGCAATCTTACAAGGACATCTTGAGAACATCTCCAGCCTAGAGCAAACATCTGCAGGGCGTAACTGCCAAACAGGACATGCCAAGGCGGCTTCTGCAAGGCCAGCTAACCGCTGATATCCGCTTCTGTGCATCCTTGCTTGCTTGCAATGTGCGTCTGGAGCCCCCTATAAAACACAGCCATTTTAGCTTCACGGGGCTGCTGCCCTCGGCTGCGTTTGTGGACGGCAGACCCTGCATGCAGGCTTTAGCTTAATAAAGCATCCCCAAAACTGAAGAATTGAGTCTGAGTGTGGTCCATCTCCTGGGTTATAACACTAGGACCACCCCATTCCTCAGACTGTTATGTTCAATATATTCCACAAATAAGTGAGATCATATGATATTTGTATTTCTCTGTTTGGCTTGTTTTGCTTAGGATAATACTTTCCAGATCCCTCCATGTAGTCTCAAAGGATAAGAGATCTTTCTTTCTTACAGCTGCGTAGTACTCCATTGTGTATATATACCACAGCTTTTTTATCCATTCGTCTACTGATGGACACTTGGGCTGTTTCCAGATCTTAGCTATTGTAAATAGTGTGCAGCAAAAAATTTTAATGTACTTCTGACAATTTTTCTTTTTGTTGTTTAGGGTCCAATGATTTGCATTAAACTAGTTATTAAAATTGCTTGAGATGGTTAGTTGAATGTCATGAATCAAAGAAAGAAAAACCAGTATCCATCTTCTTACAAGTTAAAAAAGGGGGAAATAATATGAATTTATTTATTACATTTATTTTATTCTTTGACAAAACCAAGGAATAGGGAAACCCTTAATTAAAACTATTGATAAAACTTAAAAAAGAAATCAGTACAATGATTTAGTTTTGGAATCAGTAAATTAAATTGTGGGAGCAGAGTGAAAAAATCAAGAGCATTAAATGTTCCCGATGACATGCCAAGCTATTTTAGAAACAGCGGCAAGAGCTTCTCTGCAAGTGGGTTTGATGAAACGCTTTGGCAGCAAGAATCCATATTTGCCTTTATCTCGAAGTTCAATTGTAAAGGAATATTTGACGCCCAAGTCATAGATCCAGTCATCCGAACCTCCAGGAGCTAGGTCTACAAGAAGAAAAAACAAATTACTTTTTGAAATGTAGGTGTTTCAAGTTAACAATGTTTTTTCCCCTAAAAATGAAAATTGCTTTGCATTTTTCTGATTATGCAGTAATATATATTTTTGGTAGAAAATGGAGATTGATGGAAAACAAGTTAAGGAAGAAAATAAAAATTACCCATAACTTTACCAAGAAGTGATACTCACCATTAACATTTTAGTGCTTTTATTTTTCAGTGCAGGCTTTAAGCAAAAAAATTTTAACTTAATCTTTAACTTAATTTTTAAAATTTTCTAAGTTAACCTTTTTCCTACATAAATAAGATCATTCTATACATTCTGTTTTGTAACATTTCCAAACAAAGTATCTGTCATGACCAGCTTTAGGTATTGATGAGTTCAAATAAAATCATTTTTAACTAACTCATAGCATTGCACTGTAAAGCTGGATGCAAATTAATTTAAATGTTTATTTGGAGTCTTTTAAATTTTTTTTATCTAAGAAACACAACTTTACAATGAACATCTGTGTTTATACATAATTGTTTATTTGATCCTTTAGAATATTATTTCCTAAAAGTAGATTGCTAGCATAGGGGTATATACTTTTTACAATTATTCTGCATGTTGCCAAATAGCCTTCATAATAATTCACCAATTTATACCTCCACTAGCAAGGTACGAATATGCCCACTTCTCCCTCCCACATTATCCATGGAATTTTGCATTTCTGGCAATTGTATGGGTGAAAAAATAATATCAAATGGTCTTGCTTTATGTTTCTTTCATTACTGGTGATTGAATGTTTTGTTTGGTACATTTATTGTCCATGTTTATATATTTTTTATCAATTATCTTACTCATATTTCTATTTGGTTCAATTTATAGATTGTTTATAAAAGCAACATTAGTGTTGTTAGCCCTGTGTAATATGGGGAGAATTTTTTCTGCTTCTTTGGTTATTTAGCTTTCAAGTTGATTTATGACAGGGTTTTTATCTAAAAATATTTTATCTTCTGGAATTTATTTTGGAGAAAAACATGCTAGTAATCCGATGTTGTCTAAGTGTCATCAGGTTTCCCAAATTTGTTAATTGACTAATCTAACATTCTTAACTGGTTAGAAATGCCTTCTTTATGAGATACTACATCTCCTTATCTATTTGGGGTTTCTAATGTATTTTAATACTGGGTTGGGGCAAATTCTCTTTTATTAGTCTTATTTTAAAGAATTCTACAAGTTCTACTAAATTTATTCTTTCAAATGCAGTTCAAAATCATTTAAGTGTTCATTGGGATTTTTAAACTGACCCATTTTTATATTTCTGTCCCATTCAAAAACATGGCAGATTTCTCCTTTTGTTTGTCTTATTTTATGCACACCAGTAAAATTTTCCAGGTTTTAAAAATTATAGATTATATGGATTTGTGTGTGTACATGCATATATACATTTAACAATGAATCCACCTTACTCAACTTTTTAATTGTTACTAAATATTTTTGGTTAATTTTCTACTGTTTACCATGTAGGCAACTATATAATATGCAAAGTGATCACTTTTGCTTCTTTCTAATAATTATACTTGAATTAATACAAAGGTGTTTACTGAAACATTGTTTTAATACTGAAAAATATTCACCACCAGTGGATTAGTTAAGTTATTCATTCAGCAAATATTTCTGACAACCATTATCAATATTTGCAATTTATTCTTCTAACCATTTTTCTATGCTTATATACACATACACATAGATGTGTCCTGAATGAATGAATGTGTGGAGATGGACTGATTTCATCATAACAGGAAGTTTGCTCTATAAGTTCCTCTAGCCCTGAGGCACTGTGGTCATTCTTTGGGGAAGAAGAGGATAGGAATCAAGAAAGCTCTGAATTGTGAAAGGAAGTTGTGGGGTTTTTCTGTGAAAGAGCAGGGACGTTAGTCAGCAAAGGCAGCAATGGACTAGTGACACCAAGAGAAAGAAATACCATGTGGACCAATCTGGCCTGTTTTTTCCTGAGACAATTTGAGGTTTTTGAGGAGGAAGAGGAAATTTCCAGTTCTGGACTTTCTACTAATAGGCCATCTAGTCCTTAAGCAATTTATTGAAAATAATATAAATGTGATTATTAATATGAATGTGTTTTTATAACCCTGTAGATCATACTTGTTAAAAGAAACTCGGGGACTTTGATATATTGTCTCAAGGCCTTTTCACCTGCTATTGCCTCTCCCTGGTTTTCCCCCACACCTTTGTTTGGTAGCCGCTTACCGGGTAGGTCTCCCAGAAATGTCATCTACAGAGAGACCTTCCCAGGACACTTTAGCTAAGTAGCCTCCCTCTTCTGCAGTCATTCTCAAATCCATAAGCCTATTTTATTGTCTTTACTTATCAATGAAATTATACTATATTTTACTGTTTGTTTACATCAACAATGAAAAACATTTTCTGTAAAGGACCAGATAGTAAATATTTTAGGCATTGTGGGTCATATAATCTATGTCACAACTACTCAACTCTACTGTCATGAAACCGTCATAGATCATAGACAAACGAATGATATGGATATGTTAAAAAAATTGATTTGGGGATACTGAAATTTGAATTTCATATCATTTTAAAAGGTCACCAAATCTTTTTTTTTTTTTTTTCCAACCATTTAAAAAACCTGGAAAACCATTCTTAGCTCTTGGGCTATACAAAAACAAACAGTGGTCTGGATATGACCTGCGGGTCATCATTTGCCAATACCTGGTTACATGTTTATTTTCTGTTCCTCTTCTCCCATCTCCCCCTCCAGCTTCAAAAGAGTAAAATCATTGTGTGTTATCCCACTGTGTGTACAAAGGAGTCCCTCAATAAATATTTAAAATATTTGTTAAGAGTTTGCCACATACATATTCTCATCACCGTGATTGAAATAAAAAAAATTCAACTATAGTGTTCTATGTGCTATACTCTTGGGCACAGGCTGTCACTAAAAAGCAACTACTGTAATGGTCATACACTAGATGTGTATAGTGTTCACCCTGCACAACCTTACGTGGTGGCCCTGGACATCTTACATATTCTTGTCACCCTTTATGACCTTTTCTACTCCACTCAACTAGTATGATGCCAATTCTATAATCCCTATTCTATAGCAATGAGCATATTTTCTAAACATCATTTTGGCTTCTTTTTTAAATATTCACTTATTAATATAGTTTTTTCAGTGCTATCATAGCTATTATGCTTCCATTTGTAATTATAATCCAATTGTTTTCCATGTGACCTTGTTTAAAGATTCCATTTAGAAAAATTAAATCTACACAGAAAAATCAAACACACAGACTTTTTAAGTGCCTCACAGTTTTCTAAGATCTTAAGAAGAAATACTTACATAAGCTTTCTGAGCCACTGCCATATGTGTATCTGGCACCTGCACTCGTCCTCTCAATAGCATGGACGGCTTCGCTGGCCAGCAGGGACTGGGATCAGTAGAATATGAAATTTCAGTTAATGTAAAGCTTTAAAACAGGACAGGTGGAGTTTCTAAAAATGATCATATATCAATTGACTCAAACTATATATATGAAGAAATATAGAGTAGGATGGTAGTGGTCAGGATCTGTGAGGTGGGGGAAATGGGGAAATGTTAGTCAAAGGATACAAACTTCCAATCATAAGATGAAAATGTCCTGGGGATCTAATGTACAGCATAGTGACTATAGTTAACAATATTGTATTATATACTTAAAAGGTGCTTACATGTTCTTACCACAAAAGAAAAAATAGTAATTATGTGAGATGGTAGATGTGATAACTCACTTTATTGTGGTAATCATTTCACAACATATATGTGTATCAAATCAACACACTGTACACCTTAAACTTACACAATTTTGTATGTCAGTTATATCTCAATAAAGTTGGAAAAAACTGTGTATATGAAAAAATATGCCTTTATCCAAAAGATAAATCAAGAAGAATAAATTAACTTTAAAAATGTTTTTTGCTTTATAGATATCACAATTGGGTGACTGTAAACATAGATTCTTCCAATACTTTGAATATTTTATTTAATTTGAAGAAAAAATAAGTCTTACTTTCCTTTTATAGAAATTTATTTTGTAAAATGTAGTATAACTATATTTCAAAGGCAAATAACTTAGGGTTATCCCATTACTAGACAAAATTGTCACCAAATTTTAAATCCAACTTCTCTAAACAATATTATACCTGATTCCATTCTCATTCTCCTCAGTAACTCTATTTTATTCTATGTAAAATGTCTAATAACTCCCTAGCACTCATCCAATAAAAAAGGTATGAAGCGGGATAATAACTAAGACATTTGTTTCTAGCTTTACCCAGATCTTTTGTGAAGTTGGATGGTATTCACTTTCACTCTCTTGAATAACTCAGAGGAATATCAGAGGATATGATATTGTGCCATTCTTTTGTTCAAAATAAAACTTTGAATAGAACCCCATTGTCTCCGAATAAAATGCAAATTTATTCTGACATTCAAATAAGCTGCCCTTATCTTCACAAGCTGACCTCATCTACTTTTTGATGGTATCACCCTTCACTTTGGCACTCTCACAGTCTCCTGAGCATACTTCCTGTGGGAATCACCTTCTCCTCACCTTGGAATATCTTCCCCTCCCTGTTCATCTTTCAATGTTTGGCTGAAATTCTATAACAGCCTGTTATCATTCCATTTTCTTTACTTTTACTGTATTGTCCATTGCATTCCAAAAAACAGGGGGTGCTGCAATTGGAGGTGCTTTTAATAGGACCCTTGGGGGTTAGGAAGGTCAACATTGCAAACAATTCCTAACGCTAATATCAAATTGGTGAGTGTTGTGCTGAGACTTGATCTGTGATGAGTACTGTAGAAAGTTAATGGGCACAAAATAGATGTAACTCCAGAGACTTGTTCTGGTCTTTGCTCATATGGCTTCATATGTAGATCACATCAGATGGGATAGTTCCCTGCTGATCTTTAAAGAGTGTCTGATATTTTTCTTAGAGAGCCTATCTTCTGGCCTGAAGTTCTTGTCCTCAGGGTAAGTCCCCCATTCTTTACATTCTTTCAATGAACTTTTACCCTGCGTTATTCCTAGTACAGTTAGGCCAGAACTCTAGAGGAGTTTTTGATTCTTGAACTAAGTATTACTTGATTTCTAAAATGCCAATGATAAAAATAATTAGGCAGCACTTACCAGTTCCTCGTGGTCTTTGCTTTTGCTCCTGTTATAGGAATATGGAAACACTATCATCTGGGAGTATGAATGCATCGTGATGTAAGCTTTAATATGGTTGATATTTCTTCTCAAGAAATTAGCCACTGCCTTCACTTCTGGTTCCGACTCAGGGTAAAGTCCACAGTAGACCTCTGAGCATGCGAAACTTGATGCACCCTTCTCTGTGGTGAAATTGATAGACTGAAATTATGAGGAAACACACATGCTATTGTAATTTGTGAATTCCCTTACAATGTATTCTAATATCTATGGTGTAACATTTTTAGATAATGGATTAGATAGAGCTCTGTAAAGAGCTTATTTATGTTGTTCACTAAATGTTGTTTATGTTCCTTCTGAAGTCAGCTATTTATTTACATGCCTCATAGCAGACTCGCCAAAGTTGCTGCCTGGGAGCAGCCATCTTGCAACCCAGAGAAAGTCTAAGAGTCTCAGAAAAGCTAGCCCTGTCTCCAAACCTCTGGTTATGTGAGAAAAATAAATTCAATTATCCTTAATCCACTGTAAGTTTGTTTTTTAAGTAGTTTAAAAATTACTAATTAACATAGCCCATCAAAGAAAAGACTCATTTGGGAATTCAGCATATACAAGTCTGCTTTCAGTGCTATTTCTAACTTGCTAAAGTGGTTTAGTAAATAAAATGGAATGGTGATATTTGGTGCCAGAATAATATTTACTCACTCCTTTGAAAGATTATACCATATATTACTTCGAATGGCAGCCTGCCTCCCAACACTTTTCCTTTCTGTCTCTAATTCATAGGGATGGATCCCCATGGAGCTACCTCTGACCAAAAAATTTTTCTCTCCTGGAAACAGCTGATTAGGTCTGAATTGTGTCCTTAACTTATGTCCTGAAAATCTGAATTCCTCCACTGATAACTTGAAATCAAAATGAAGATCCTAATCTCAGTCCAGCTGCTCTTTTGAACAAAGATGGTAACAATAATACCACCACCAGCTGATACCCACAGAGCACATGCTGAATATCAGAAACTCTGCAAAGATCTACACAAAATATTTCATGTAATCCTCACAGCAATCCTGTGAATACTGTTATTTTAGGAAATGCAAATTGGACACTCTTGGTGGTAACAATCCTTTACAATAAAAGCTTATGTGGTGTATTGTTAATCACCCAATCGCTTGACTCTAACCTTAGCTTTGGGTAAATTTTTCAACCTATCCATACTTTGACTTCCTTATCTGATAAATAAAAAAATATATACATTAAATGAGTATTTAATGAGGATCCAGTGAGATAATGCATGTAAAGTGCTTTGCACAGTGCCTAGCACATACTATGTATTTACTGTTTGTTGTTTCTTGTTGTCATAGTTGTTGTTGTCGTCGTCGTCATCATCATCATCTGTGCTGAGACCCCAAAATGCCAGTCTGCATCACAGAGATGAGATGGGGAGAGAAAGGACTCCTTGAGCCCTTTACACTGCTCTAGGCCCAATTCTAGTCTGTTTCTGAGTCCCAGCTGTATCCTTGTCCTTGGGTTCTTTGGGCCACTCCAATGTCCTTACAGTCTGTTTTTCTTATTAAAGCTTGCTCTGCTTTCTTCCTGTGATTTGCAACAGAAACAACCTTAATGTTTGTTAAACATTATTTTTCCCGCAAGGAAATGTTTACATCCAAGTCCTTTCCAAGTATTTTATTTGTTTTATTTTTTAACCAATAATGTAACTGGACAAACCACTTTTGAGAGTTTAGTCAACATTGAATATTCCTGGCCTTTTTTCTCTGATATAGTTCTATAGCATAGAGATTATACAGGGTGGGGCAAAAAGTAAGTTTATAGTTGTTTGTATGGAAAATAATACAATAATTGATAAATAATGATACAAAAATAAACTCTGTGTTTTGTTACTCACAACTATAAACCTACTTTTGTCCCCACCCTGTATACTGGGAGTAGATGTAGGAGAGGACATGAAAGAGCTGAAGGGAGAGAGTATGTCCTTAATATAAGTCCTCAGACCAGAGCTGTTCAATAGAAATATAATGTAAGTCACATATTTAAGTTTTCAAGTAATTACTTAAAGAAACAGGTGAACCTAATTTTAATAATACAGCTTACTCCCTGCCGGTGTGGCTCAGTGGTTGAGCATTGACCCATGCACCAAGGGGTCACTGGTTCAATTCCCAGTAAGGGCACATGCCCAGATTGTGGGCCAAATCCCCAGTGGGGGACATGCAGGAGGCGGCCAATCGATGTTCTCTCTCATCGATGTTTCTAACTCTCTCTCTCCCTCTCCCTTCCTCTGTCTTTAAAATCAATAAAGAAAAAAAAATAATACAGCTTATTTAACCCAATATGTACAAAATATTATCATTTTAAATGTAACCAATATAAAAATTATCCATGAGGTATTTTGTTACTTTTTCACACTAAGACCAAAATCTGGTGTGCATTTTACAATCACTGCACGTCTCAGTTCAAACAAATCACATTTCAAGCGCTCAATGGCCACATAGTGACTGGTAGCTACTATACTGGACCATGCAGCTTCAGACTCTCATTCTGTGACTCATTCTAGAGATGTCACCATTTTAGTGGAAAGAGCCAGGCAGTCAGGAAACTTGAGTTTGAGACTCTGCTTTTCCATTAAGTAGGCATGTCAGTCTGAGCAAGCTACTTTGTCTAACTGCTTCTTCTGTACCAAGAGGTGCCTGGTTTACCAGGTCCCTTCAAGTTCAAACCTTATTTGATCTATAGGCAAAGAATCAAGAACTATCAGGAGAGGCAAATTCATAGAGATGTAAAATAGATTAGTAATACCAGGAGGTGGGAGAGTAGGGAATGAGGAGATGTTGCTTAATGATTACAGGGTTTTTGTTTGGGATGATGAAAGTTTTGGAAATGAATATTGGTGATCATTCGACCAGATTGTGAATGCACTTAATGCCACTGAATTGTACACTTGAATGGTTAAAATGGCAAATTTTGTTATATATCTATTATTTCAATAAAAAATAATTAAGAGACACTAATATGTCATAGAAAGGGAAATAATGATTTTTTTTTAGTGCATACCCATGTAAAAACTTTGTAATTTAACTTACTTTTTTAAAGAAAATGAGTGAATCTGTCTTAGGAAGTTTTAGACCAGAGGTTTTCACAAAATGCTCCTTGGTATAAACTGAATTTTACCCCTATTCCCCAATTTATGTTTAAGTCTGAATCTGCAATGGCAGTACAACTAAGGCCTTTGAGGAGGTAGTTAAGTTTTAATGAAGTCATAGAAGTGGGGCCTTGGTCTGTTGGTGTCCTTATAAGAGAAAAAGAAAGAGAGAGAGAGAAAGGGAGAGTGAGACAGAGAGAGAGAGAGAGAGAGAGAGAGAGAGAGAGAGAGAAAGAGAGAGAGCAGTGATAAACACAGTACAGAGAAAAGGCCATGTGAGCACATGATGAGAGGGTAGCTGCCTGCAAGCCAAGAAGAGGGCCTTGGGAGAAACCCACCCTTCTGTCATCTTGATCTTGGACTTCTAGTCTTTCTTATGTTTAAGCCACCCAGTCTGTGGCATTTTGTTATGACAGCCCTAGCAGAGTAAGACACCCTCAACTGAATTCCCATCTCTAACACACATGCAGACAATTTTAGTACAGAGGAAGGTAAAATGAACATAAAATGAATAAGTTAACATGGTATGCCACTTCCTATTAATACGTGAGGCACTCTAATAGATATTTTACAAAGGGTCATAACGGCACATTCTAGTTGTAGGGGCAAGGACCAGAAAATATTTTAATTCTTCCTCACTGACTGACTTACATAGTATTGAAGACATACTGGGGCACTTGGCAAAAACTAATCCTTACAATTACTTTTTGTATTACTTGACACTCTCGTCTGTATGCTTGCTCCTTCTGTTTCTGTTTTAAACTCTTGTGATATATAATATCACAACATAATATAATATAATACAACACCATGCCTAAGAAGGGCCAGAGATATTTCTTTTTGGCAATAACAATATAATTTGACCACTTTGCTATTCAAATTGGGTAACTGACTTCACCATGTTAAGTAAAATAGAACACCAAGAGCTTAAAGATCAAACAATAAGCTCTAAAACGGAATTTATAACTGAAGAGTGATTGTCAGACATACAAGAATTTCAATAAGCCCTGGCTGGTTGGCTCAGTTGTTGGGTGACATTCTGTGCACCAAAAGGTTGTGCAGGAGGCAGCCCATTGATGTTACACTCTCACATTGATGTTTCTCTCTCTCTCTCCCTCTTCTTTCCTATCTCTCTAAAAATCAATAAACTATAAAACCTGACCTTATATCTCAGCTCTGCCACTTTTTAGATCTGTGCTCTACAACAAAGGACTTAGCCTTCTAAAGTCTGGGATGCAGCATTCATGATATTTTGATAATAAAATCTAGGAGATAAACTATGTAAACTGCTCAGCACTTAGTAACTGTCAGCCCTATTTATTCAGGTCTATTTTATATTAGCTCCTGCTTCTTTGACTCCCTGCCAACTAATCAGTGCTACAGCAATCTTTGGGCCTCAGCAGGCACTTTTCTTAGATGATCTTAAAGATGGCTCTTATGGAGAAACCACTATATAATTCCCTTGAGCCAAAGCTCTTTCCTCTCCCACTGACTACATCTCTAACTCTTTTAGAATAACTAAATCCATTTACACGTTCACCGAATTAACATTTTTTGAGAACCCTCCATGTTTCAGGCACTGGACTAGGTCATGGATCATGATCCTTGCCCTCAAGGGTAGGAAATAAGAAAATAAGGTAAGTATTCTGTTGTGGGGTTTTCCTATGTGCCCTGGGATAATAATGAAATGTTCAAAGGCATGAATTTTCACTTCTTTTTTAAAAGAAAAATGTAATGTCATGGTCATAGGATTGTGTACGACAAAGGAATGGGAAAAAGAGGGCATTTCTGTGATTATAATAGTTTTGTCCTCTTGTATTCCCCAACAAGACTTTAAATGGGGCTTTATTTTATTTTATTTTAAGATGTTACTGGAACCCAGCTTAACCTCTAAGGGAATGTTTGTACTTTATTTATTTAATTTACTTTTTGTGGTACATGCCCCTAGCAGGAACTGAACCTGGGACTCTCTGGTCCACAGGCCAACGTTCAACCGCTGAACCAAACTAGCCAGGGCATAAATGGGACTTTAAAGAACTGGTCTCATTTCCTTTTTCTAAAGATGAGGAAACAGAAGGAAGGAGAGGTTAAAGTAATTAGCTGACTCTAGTTAATATTCACAGAATTACATTTAACTAAAATGTTTATTATGTAAATGATTTCCTGATTCTGATAAACCTTTCCTATCTGAATTAATGTGCCTTTCTTTATGAATGTCACCTTTTTCATGAAGAAACATCACCCAAAATAAAACAAACAACCTACCACACCAGTGTTTGGAAGCAAAGTTCCTATTCAGGTCTGTTCCAATGCAAGGATCATTTTCATGAAAAGAACGGTTCTTTCTCCACATTCGATTCTAAATAAACAAAATACAGATAACCAGGGTGGCACGTTTGTGGTTTAAAGAAAGACATGACTTTTAAAGCCTGAGTAGCCAGGGCTAGTCTCAGCTGCAGTCCCAGCACTTCGTCCTGTCACTGCCTTGACAGCGTTCTTTTTCTACAGCTCCTATTTCTGTCCCAGTCTCAATCACATTGACTCAAACTATTTTAATTTGAATTAAACAATATCCTAATATTTGGTCACTTTTGATCTAGAGAAATAATGTTGTCACTTGGTTGTGCTAGGCTGTTTATTGGCCTTCTTGTTTGGTTTTATTTCATTTAAAGTAATTTTATGCAATCGAGTTCCTTCTAAGAAAAGTGAAATAACTTTGTGTTTCAACTCAAAACTATGAGTCATGAGTTGTTTTTTTTATTGAAATATATTTGACATCTAACCTTGCATACATTTAGGGTCTACAACATGTTAATTTGATACATTTTTATTGTAATGTGATTACCATTGTAGGGAGAGTTAGCACCTCTATCACATCACATAAACTATCATTTTTGTGTGTGGTGGGAATGATTAAGATTTAATCTCTCAGCAAGTTTGATAATTATAATACAATACAGTTAAGTAATAAGTTTCAATACTCTAAATTAAATTCAACACTCTCTAGAAGCTATAGGGGACGGACCTGGGAAGACTCCTCTTGCCTGATGGCTCCTTTGGTTGTATTGATTTGACTCTGGGTTATAAACATAAAGCAAATTCCCCACTGTACTCTTGAGGTAAACTGGAAAATCTGTTCATGTACATAGTTGCACAGACTTTAGTTCTAAGGTTGGGGTGATGTGGCATCCCACATCTTTTTTTTTTTATTAATTTATTTTTGTTACATATGTTTCTCATTTTTCCCCCATTGACACCCTCCTCCCCAACTCCCCCACCCCGTCCCCAGCTTTGTTGTCCATGTCCATTAGTTATGCATACATGCATATAAGTTCTGTGGTTTATCTCTTCCCTCCCCCATCACACCCTTCTCTGAGGGCTGTCAGTCTGTACCCTACGTGCACATCTCTGGGTATACCCTGTTCCTCAGACAGTTATGTTCATTATATTCCACAAATAAGTGAGATCATGTGATATTTGTCTCTCTGCTTGGCTTGTTTTCCTTAGGATAATACTCTCCAGGTCCCTCCATGTCGTCTCAAAGGATAAGAGATCTTTCTTTCTTACAGCTGCATAATACTCCATTGTGTATATGTACCATTGCTTTTTTATCCATTCGTCTACTGATGGACACTTAAGTTTCCAGATCTTAGCTATTGTAAATAGTGCTGCTATGAACATGGGGGTACATATATTCTTTCTGATTGGTGTTTCAGGCTTCTTAGGGTATATTCCAAGAAGTGGGATCACTGGGTCAAATGGAAGTTCAATTTTTAATTTTTGGAGGTAACACCATATTGTTTTCCATAGTGGCTGCACCAGTCTGCAATCCCACAAACAGTATACTAGAGTCCCCTTTTCTCTACACCCTTGCCAACACTTCCTGTTTGATGATTTGTTGATGGTGTTCAATCTGATAGGTGTGAGATTGTTGTTTTAATTTGTTGTTTTAATTTGCATCTCTCTGATGATTAGTGATGTTGAGCATTTCTTTATATGTCTCTTGGCAAATATGTCATTTGTATGTCCTGTTTGGAGAGGTGTCTATTTAGTTCCGCTGCCCATTTTTTAGTTGGGTTCTTTGTTTTCTTTTTGCTGAGTTGTATGAGTACTCTATATGTTTTGAAAATTAATTCCTTATTTGATGTATCATTGGGTTCACTTTCCATTTTGATGCTTATTTGTTTTGCTGTACAAAAGCTTTTTAGTTTGATGTAGTCCCATGTGTTCATTTGTTTCTATTGCCTTAGCCATTGTATCAATGAAAATTCTGCTGCATGTGATGTCAGAAGTTTTGTTGCCCGCATTTTCTTCTAGGATTTTTATGGATTCACGGGTCACATTTAAATCTTTTATCTATTTTGAGTTTATTCTTGTGTATGGTGTAAGTTGATGGTCTACTTTCATTTTTTGCATGTAGATGTCCACTTTTCCTAACACCATTTATTAAAGAGGCTGTCTTTACTCCATTGCATGCTCTTGCCACCTTTGTCAAATATTAATTGAGCATAATGCCTTAGGTCAATTTCCGGGTTCTCTGCTCTGTTCCACTGGTCTATATGCCTGTTCTTGTGCCAGTATCAGGCTGTTTTGATTACAGTCGCTTTGTAGTATAATCTGATATCCGATATTGTGATCCCACCTACTTGGTCCTTCTTTTTCAAGATTTCTGTGGCTATTTAGGGTCTTTTTTGGTTCCATATGAACTTTTGAAGTATTTGTTCTCGTTCTGTGATATATGTCATTGGTATTTTGAAGGGGATTGCATTGAATCTGTAGATTGCTTTGGGCAATATAGATATTTTAATGATGTTAAGTCTTCCAATCCATGAATAAGGTATGTGCTTCCACTTTTTTATATCTTTCTCTATTTCCTTTTTCAATGTCCTGTAGTATTCTGCAAATAGATCCTTTACTTCTTTGGTTAAGTTTATTCTTAGGTATCTTAATTTTTTTGCCACAATGGTAAATGGGATTTTTTTTTAGTTTCTCTTTTTGTGAGTTCATCATTGGTGTATAAGAATGCCATCAATTTCTTGATGTTAATTTTGTATCCTGCTACTTTGCAAAATTCATTTATTAAGTCTAATAGATTCTTGATGGACTCTTTAGGGTTTTCTATGTATAGTATTATGTCATCTGCAAATAATGACAGTTTCACTTTCTCCTTTCCAGTTTGGATTCTTTTTATTTTTTCTACATGTTTGATTGCTGTGGCCAAGACGTCAAGTACCATGTTAAATAAGAGTGGTGAAAGTGGGCATCTCTGTCTTTTTCTTGTTCTTAAGGGAAATGCTTTTACTTTTTGCCCATTTAGTATGATGTTGGCTGTAGGTCTTTTATATATGGCCTTTACTATGTCGATATATGATCCCACTATTCCCACATTGCTGAGCATTTTTATAAGAAATGGGTGATGGATTTTGTCAAATGCTTTTCAGCATCTATTGATATGATCATATGATTTTTATCTTTCATTTTGTTTATGTGGTGTATCACATTTATTGATTTGTGAATATTGTACCTGCCTTGCATCCCTCAGATGAATCCCATTTGGTCATGGTGAATAATTTTTTTGAATGTATTGCTGGATTCGATTTGCTAGTATTTTGTTCAGGATTTTGGCATCTGTGTTCATCAGGGATATTGGCCTGTAGTTTTCTTTCTTTGTAGTGTCTTTTTATGGTTTTGGAATTAGCATTATGCTGGCCTCATAAAATGAGTTTGGAAGTCTACCTTCTTTTTGAATATTTAGGACTCGTTTGAGAAGAATGGGTGTTAGTTCTTCTTTGAATGCTCGGTAAAACTCCCCCATGAAGCCGTCCGAGCCTGGGATGTTTTTTGCTGGGAGAGTCTTGATTACATCTTCAATTTCCTTCTTTGTTATTGGTCTGTTCAAGTTTTCTGTCTCTTCCCGGTTCAGTTTTGGGAGACTATGTGTTTCTAGAAATTTGTCCATTTTGTGTACATGGTCCAATTTGTTGCTGTATACTTGCTCGTAATATTTGTTAACAGTCTTTTGTATTTTTTTTGGTGTCGGTGTTTCTTCTCCTCTTTCATTTTTGATTTTGTGTATTTGAGTTCTCTCTCTTTTTTTCTTGGTTAGTCTAGCTAAGGGTCCATCAATGTTGTTTATCTTTTCAAAGAACCAGCTCTTTGTATCATTGATCCTTTGAATTATTATTATTATTTTTTGGTCTCCATGTCGTTTATTTCTGCTATGATCTTTACTATTTTCTTCCTTCTACTTGCTCTGGGGTTTTCTTTTTGTTTGCTCTCTAGTTCTTTATTTAAGCTGTGAGGTTAGGTAGTCAATTAGAAATTTTTCTTGTTACTTTAGGTAGGCCTGTAGTGCTATGAACTTCCCTCTCAGCTTTTGCTGCATCCCATAGATTTTGTATGTTGTGTGTTCATTTTCACTGGTTTCCAGGAAGTTGTTAATTTCTTCCTTGATCGCTTTGGTAACCCATTCATTGTTTAATAACATGCTATTTAGCCTCCATGTGTTCAAATGTCTTTGCATGTTCTTGTTGCAATTGATTTTTAGTTTTATGGCATTGTGATCTGAGAAGATGCTTGACATGATTTCAATCTTCTTGAACTTGTAGAGACTTAGTTTGTGTTCTAACATGTGGTCTATCTTTGAGAATGTCCCATGTGCACTTGAGAAGAATGTGAATTCTGCAGTTTTGGGGTGTAATTCTCTATAGATATCTATTAAATCCAATTGGTCTAGTGCTTCATTTAGAGCACTGGTTCTCAACCTTCGTAATGATGTGACCCTTTAGTACAGTTCCTAATGTTGTGATGACCCCCAATCATAGAGTTATTTTTGTTGCTACTTTTTAACTGTAATTTTGCTACTGTTATGAATCGCCATAGGAAATATGAGTTTTCCAATGGTCCTAGGCAACCGCTGTGAAAGGGTTGTTCAACCCTAAAAGGGGTCACGACCCACAGGTTGAGAACCGCTGATTTAGAGTCTCTGTTTCCTTGTTAATTTTTTTGTCTAGATTGATCTATCCTGTGATGTCAGTGAGGTGTTGAAGTCCCCTGCTATGATTGTATTGCTGTTGATTTCTCCTTTGAATGTCTCCAGAAAATTTTTAATGTATTTGGTGCTCCTATATTGGGTGCATATATGTTTACCAAGGTTATAGCTTCCTGTTGGATAGAGCCTTTCAATATTGTGTAGTGACCTTCTTTGTCTCTAGTTATGGTCCTCATTTTGAAATCTATTTGATTAGATATGAGTATTGCTACCCCAGCTTTTTTTTTCCTTTTCATTTGCTTGGAAGATTTTTTTCATTCCATCACTTTCAACCTATGTGAGTCTTGTGAGGTAGGTCTCTTGTAAGCAACATATATATGAGTTTTGCTTTCTTTCTTTTTTTTTTTTTTTATCCTCACCCGAGGACATTTTTCCATTTTTTGTTCAGATAGAGCGGGAGGGAGAGAGAGGAAGAGAGAGAGAGAGAGAAACATCGATGTGAAGGGACACGTCGAGTGGCTGCCACCTGCACGACCAACCAGGGCCGGGGACAAACTGCAACCGAGGTACATGCCCTTAGCAGGAACCGAACCCGGGTCTCTCTGTACCGCAGGCCGACGCTTCAACCGCTGAGCCAAACCAGCCAGGGCGAGTTTTGCTTTCTTATCTAATCAGTTATGTTGTCTTTTTATCAGATAACTCAGTCCATTTACAAATGTGATTATTGATATGTACTTATTTATTGCCATTTTTGCTTAGTGTGGTGTTTTTTTCTTCCTATTTTTTCTACTAATTACAGCAGTCCTTTAACATATCTTGCAGTGCTGGTTTGGTGCTAACATGTTTCCTTAGCGATTTTTGTCTGGGAAGCTCTTTATTAGACCTTCTATTTTGAATGATACCCTTGCTGGATAGAGTAGTCTTTGATTTAGATACTTGTGTTTTTATGACCTTGATTACTTCATGGCACTCTTTTCTGGCCTGTAGTGTTTCTGTTGAGAAGTCAACTGAGAGTCTTATGGGGTTTCCTTTGTAGGTAACTTGTTGCGTTTCTCTGGCTGCCTTTAAGATTCTCTCTTTGTGTTTAATTTTTGGCTTTTTAATTACTATGTCTCTTGGTGTGGGCCTGTTTGGGTTCTTCTTATTTGGGGCTGTCTGTGCTTATTGAACTTGAATGCCTTCTTCTTTCACCAAATTAGGGAAGTTTTTGTCACTATTTCTTCAAATATATTCTCTAACCCTTGCTCATTTTCTTCTTCTGGGACTCCTATGATGTGAATATTATTACATTTCCAGTTGTATCACAGTTCTCTTAAGCTATCTTCCTGTTTTTTAATTTTTTTTTTTTTTCCTTTTGGTTTTCTGACTGGTTGATTTTTTCTACCCTGTCTTCTAATTCACTGATTTGGTCCTCAGCTTCCTCTGCTCTGCTGTTTAGTCCTTTCAATGTGTTCTTTATTTCTGCCATGTCATTCTTTATTTCCACTTGATTGGTTTTCAATACTTGTATATCTTTACTCATGGTTCTCATGTCCTTACACATGCTGTTGAGCTTTGTCAAGATCATGGCTCTGAACTCTACCTCTGCTAACTTGCTTAACTGCCTTTCATTTATCTCATCTTCAGTAGAGGTCTCTTGTTCTTTCATTTGGGATTTGTTTCTTTGTTTCAGCATTTTGGCTATCTCAGTGGGTTTTGGAGCCTGCCAAAATTTCCCTGTGTGTGTTGGTGTTCTGCTGTGTATGGCTCTACTGGGTTTGAATGAGCGTGGGAGGACCCACGTCAACAACCACTGTCAAAGTCTTACTTTCCTGGGTATATTTGCAAGTCCAGGAATGGTTCAGTTATCCTCTAGCTTTTTGCCTAGAGGCTATTAGTCTGGTTACTTGAAGAGCCTTGGGTTTTCAGCTGAATGAAAAACTCCCTCAGGTGTTCAGCTTAAGAGGATTTCCAGAGGGTGGGGGCAGATGCTGATTGTTAATGAGTCTCAATTTGCATTTCTTAGGCTCACCTGTGTGGGGTTGACTCTTTGAGAGAAGGGCTGCTGCCTCTCCCCAGAGCCCTGAGAAGGAGTAAGCTGGCCACCATCCTGCATGGCCACAACTCAGCAAGAGCTCTGAGTGCCCTCCAAATCCCGAGTGTTCTCACACAGTTCCAGATCAGTCTGCCCTCCTTCTGCCAGAGCCCAAGGTGAGTGGCTCTGGCTATTTTAGCGCTCTGTCCCGGCTCTGTGCTGTGGACTGGGTTAGGGAGTTTAACCTCGAAGGCACTGCTCACACCTAAGACTGCTCCTGTCTGTGGGCTCCCAGCCCCCCTCTTGTGCTTCTGCAATCCTACCAGGATCCATTCAGTGTCCCTGGTTATATGGTCCTTGCAAGCTGCTTTTCTGTTGCTTTTTCTCAATGATTTGTCTTTATTTTAGTTGTAATTCCAGTTTGGTCCTGGGAGATGGTCTGTGTAGCTTCCATTCACTCTGCCACCATTTTGGAATCTCTGATGTGGCACTCTTTACTCCTACTCTCACCAACCCTTCTACCAACCCTCCTGGTCTTCTTCCAAAGTCTGGCCTGTGGTTTGGTAGCCATCATTTTTGTGGAGAAATTAGGTTCTCATACTGCAGAAACAAATAGGCAGAGTTAAGACAAAAAGGACAGCTGGGAAGTAGAAACATCTAAAGGGTGGCTATATTCCACTGTAATTCTGGTGAAGAGATACATTTATTATAAGATCAATATAAAGATGTGATCACTTATTGAACACCAAATTTGTATTATGTCCTATGTTGGGTATTTCTCATATGCTTAGTTTAGGATTTGCCCACACCCACCTGCGAACTTGTATTCACAGTATTCTTCTCCAGAGATGATGTTTTCATCAATCTCCATTCCTATTTCTTCTGCATAAATTGCCTCCTCCATGAAACTGTTCCTGTATGATCCCATATGTTTCTAATTACTGCAATTATTCTCATTCCCCAGTGTTTACATGCACTACTCAAGTTGGTTTCTCTTAACAGATACATACTCAGTTATGTACTTATGTGCCCCTCATCAAATTAGAAGGGAATGTACTTCATATTGCTTGAGTAATTTTACAGGAATCATGATACTGATGGACTAGAAAAACTGTTGATAATGGTTTCCAATATAGATGAGATTGATCAGGATGCTAATGCTCATGACTGAGTTAAAGCATACTAAGGTTTAAATTCACATATCAATTAGAATTAAGTTCAATTAGAATTCTGTTCTAGTCTTGCAAGTCATGATTTTATAAATCAAAATGCTGGTCAAAGGATTCCTATTAAGAATAAATGGACCTAGGCATTGTGCATCAATGGCAACTAATATCTCAAAAAGTGTCACAGTAAGATATTTTATACATCCTGATCTGAGACCACACTATCACAATAACTTAGTCTTGCCAAAAAATGTCAATTCTGAATATGATTAAGCTTCTAGAATACAATTTTCAAGTTTCAGAAAATACAAAGGACAGAGGAATAGGTTAATTTGCAACATGGCAAAATGCAACTTAGCAAATCCAGACAATGGGAAACTCTTGTGTTCAATGAACAAATCGCAAGAAAAAGCGAGAGCATGAACATCTATGGATTAAAATAGAATTACAAGACATACAAATAAGTCACAGCATATTAGCCTTATTTGGATCCTGAATCAAAGACACTTATTAAAAAGTTATTATATAATTGAAAATTTAAATATTGATTGAAACTTTTATTTTAAGTAATTTTTAATTTTTAGATATACTTGTACTATGACTATTTTTTAAAGAGCTCTTTTAGAGATGCATGTTGAACTTTTTATTGATGAAATAATATAATATCTGAGATCTGCTTTAAAATAATATTGGTAAGGTAGAGGCAGGTTGAGAATATAGATGAAAGTAGATTGGCTATGAGGTGATTATTTCTGAAGCTGTTATACAGGTACATAGGAGTTGATTACACAATTATTTTCACTTATATATTGTTGAACTTTTCCATAATGAGAATTAATATATTTTTTTCATAATGAAACCATTGTGCCAAGATCCAGGATTTTATAAATAATTGAGCCAGTGTATCCTATATCCCCAAAGGGGGAAAGTTTTATTTATTTTTTGCCTTCACCTACCTTTGTCCATGTGTAGTCATAACCATCCACATTAACTACCGGCATAACATAGAAATCCACGTGCCTTAAAAGATTGGTATACAGATTTTCTTCCTCTGAAAATTGAGTTACCTACAAAGAAAACCAAGTATGTTTAATAATACCTCTTTTGAAGTCTTCTAAACTTAGTCTGTTTCTTTTATGTGTTTTCCTTTTTAAAAAAAGTTATTTGGCATGTTTAAATTTGCAAATTTAATTTTCAGGAAGAGTATCAATTCTTTAAAAAAAACCCTGAATTTAGGGTACTAAGCTACCAAGTGGTGACAAACTCCATGGAAATGGGACAAATGGTCTTCCTATTTAATGGAGGCAGGAAACAGAATTACATATTTTCTAAAATTTCCTTTGAGAAACAAAAAGAATTATTTTTAAATCCATTATGCCAACTACAAAGATTTAAGGAAGCAAAAACCTAGATACAGTTTTGTTCCTTTAAAAACAATCCACATCAGTCAGAGTTTTAACCTTATCTTATGCCCAGCAGGACTAGTTATATATTCTATATTGTCTTTGTAATTTATGGAGCTAAAATTTTGCTGCTAGTTTCTGGCAAACCTAGAGTGTGTTTTCCAAGCATCAGATTATATGGCTTTAAAATCAGTGGTAGATTTTCCTACGTAATGACTATGAGTTTCCTAATAGGCATCATCTGACACTGCTCTTGTCTATTTCAACTCACACCTACCTTAGGGTCACATTGTTCAGCATATCCAGTGATATCCTCATTCTGATGACTGAGGATTGCACCCCCAAAATAATCAAATATAGAGGAAGAATAACCACAAAGAAAAATTTCAGCTGATTAAACAAACCATTTCATCTAGGACTAAACTATGATATAAAATCTTTACTTATGGCAACATTACTGCATTTTAATTTGGTAGATTAGTTTACAATTATCTATTGCTTTAAACTTTACTCAAAAAACCTTAAAATATTTTTTTTATTATTGACAAAAGAAAAATGTCTTTTAAATCCTACCTTAATTATAGCAAAATCTTTACAATTTTCTCTTTAAATATTTAATATATTATTTTTGTATTTTGCTAAAACAATCATAAGCCATATTATAATTTTTTTGCAATGGACAAGCACTTATGAAATATGGGAGAAAGGAAAGCAAAAGTACAAGTTATTTTTTAATCCGCTATAAATCAGAAATGAAAGATTAATGAGAAGGAAGCAAATTTTATAGAATACAAGAAGCAATCTATTAAATAGTTGAGCAACTAGTTAAATATATTTTTAAGCTCCAAATTTGTAAATTTATTTTGTAGTCATGTTTCAGTATTAACATAGAATTTATTATAAAAAAATTACAGACCTCATTTATTTAAAAATAATAAACCATTTATCATTTTATTTTCTGCAATGTTTGCTGAAGTTTTAATAGACATGGTATGGTAGATTTCTTTGTCTTCCTCCCACTATTTTTTTTTTTGGCTTAAGGCAACAGAAATTTATTCTCTCACAATTCTGTAGGCCAGGCGTCCAAAATCAAGCTGTCAGCAGGATTGGTTTCTTTGTGAGACTCTGAGGGAGAATCTGTTCCATGCCTCTCTCCTAATTTCTGGCAAACCTTGGCGTTACTTCCCTCATAGCTATATCACTACAATTTTTGCCTCTGTTGTCGCACGGCCTTCTTTTAAAAAAATTATCATTATTGTTAAGAGTATTACAGATGCCCCCCTCCCCCACTCTTCCCTACACCCAGTTTCCACCCCACCCAGGCCTTTTGTGGAGTTTTAGGGTTTTCTATGTATCATATAATGTCATCTGTGGATAATGACAGTTTTACTTCCTCCTTTCCAATTAGGATGACTTTTACTTTTTCTTCTTGTCTGATTGCTGTGGCTAAATCTTCCAGTACTATGTTGAATAAGAGTGGTGAAAGTGGACATCCCTTTCTTGTTCTTGTTCTTAGGGGAAACACTTTTAGTTTTTCCCCATTGAATATGATGTTAGCTCTATTTGTCATATGTGGCCTTTTTATGTTGAAATATGATCTCTCCATTCCTACTTTGCTGAAAGTTTTTACCAAAAATGGGTACTGAATTTTGGCAAATGCTCTTTCTGCATCTATTGAAATAATTGTGTGATTTTTATCTTTTAATTTATTTATGTGGTGTATCATATTGTGGATTTGCAAATATTGTACTAGCCTTGCGTCCCTTGAATAAATCCCACTTGGTCTTAGTGTGTGATCTTTTTAATATATTGCTGGATCCATGTTGCTAATATTTTGTTGAGGATTTTAGCATCTTTGCTCTTCAGAGGCATTGGCCGGTAATTCTCTTTCTTTGTAGTATCTTTACCTGGTTTTGGAATTAGGATAATGCTAGCCTCATAAAAAGAGCTTGGAAATCTTCTTTCCTCCTGAAATTTTTGGAATATTTCAAGAAGGAGAGGTGTTAGTTCTTCTTTGCAAAACTCACTTGTGAAGCCTTCTGGACCAGAACTTTTGTTTTTTGGGAGTTTATTGCTTCAATTTCATTAGTTGTCATTGGTCTAGTCAGGTTTTCTGAATCTTCCTGGTTGAGTTTTGGAAGATTGTATGTTTCCAAAAATTTATCCATTTCACTTAGGTTGTCCAATTTGTTGGCATATAGTATTTTCTCACAATCCTTTGTATTTCTGTGGTGTCAGTTGTTACTTCATCTCTTTCGTTTCTGATTTTATTTATTTGGGTTCTATCTCATTGTTTCTTGATGAGTCTGGCTAAATATTCATCAATCTTGTTTATCTTTTCAAAGAATCAGCTCTTGGTTTCATTGATTTTTTTTGTATTCTTTTTATAGTCTCTATGTCATCTACTTCCACACTAATCTTTTTTTTATCCTCACCCAGGGACATTTTTTCAATATTTTGTTAAGATAGAGTGGGAGGGAGAGAGAGAGAGAGAGAAACATCGACATGAAAGGGACACATCGAGTGGCTGCCACCCACACGACCAACCAGGGCCGGGGACAAACTGCAACCGAGGTACGTGCCCTTAGCAAGGACCGATCCTGGGTCTCTCTGGACCACAGGCCAACACTCCAGCTGCTCAGCCAAACCAGCCAGGGCCACACTCATCTTTATTATTTTTTCCTTCTGCTTACTCTGGGCTTTACATTCTTGTTCTTTAATTGTAAGGTTAGATAGTTTATTAGATATTTTTCCTGCTTCCCTCTTTTTTATTTCCTTTCTACCTTTACCAATGGTTAGATGGGAGCTTCAGCAACAAGTTAGGCTTATGATCAATGTTAGCCTCAGAATTTCTTGTCTAATAAGCGATCTCCAAACAGAAGTGTTGAGTGAAAGCTGAACTATAGCCTTAGAAAAAGGAAGGATAGAGGGAAACTGCAATAAAGGGGAAACTGTGCAATAAAGGGACTTCTCAATACCTGTAAATAGATAAATGGGCTGAGTGGATCAGCTAGATAATGTTATAATGTCCTCTGGACTTTGGGTAGTTTTTCTAATTGGCTAAGGGTAAGATTCAATTGTACTTGGTAATTCGGAAAATCTATGTTTCTTCCCACACATTGTAAGGATTATAGCAGGGTTACATAGATAGAAAAAATTTTAAAATGTTCTTAATCAACTTTGTAAATACTGTCATTACTTATTAAAATCTTTTCATATTTGTCATTTATCTGGTTATCTAGACTTCAAAAGCATGCAATCTAGTTATCTATTATGTCACCAAACTAATGTAACCTCTAAAATTCTATAAACTTTATAATTCTTAATACTATCAACTGTGTTTACTGACATAATTTTTTCAAATAACATTTTCAGCCAAGTTGAACATGTTTCTGAATCTCATGATCCTTTACTATTAATTTCTAATCTGTGTATCATGAGGCTCTCCACACATGTGTTATACAATGATTTTTTCACAGTATTCTATAAATGTGTTTACAATATGTTTTGGGTTTTTTTTATCCTCACCTGAGGACATTTTTCCATTTTTTGTTTAGATAGAGCGGGAGGGAGAGAGAGGAAGAGAGAGAGAGAGAAACATCGATGTGAAGGGACACATCAAGTGGCTGCCACCCGCATGACCAACCAGGGCCAGGGACAAACTGCAACCGAGGTACGTGCCCTTAGCGGGAACCGAACCCGGGTCTCTCTGTACCGCAGGCTGACGCTTCAACCGCTGAGCCAAACCGGCCAGGGCTACAGTATGGTTTTATATCTAGTGAATCAACCACTTATAGTGAGGTAGGTAGCTGAAGATATTATCTCTGACACACAAAGGACAATAAATAAATATTTGCTGAAGGAATGATTTAGCAACATGATAAGTAAAATAATTACTCTAAGAAAATGAGAAGAAAAATGAGGAAAGAGGGAGCATAAGAGCAAGTGAGCTGATAAATTAGAGTAAAGCAAATATATCCAAGAACTGGAAATATACTAAAGAAAAAAATGAAAGCATGTATAGCAGGTATGAGAAATGAGAGAAGTGGAAGGAGAGAAAATTAAGATGTCAAATTGTTAAGTGCTCCTCCTAGCATTTCTTGTTGCTGTTCATGGTCTATTTTGGACCTAAAGATCAAGATGAGAATTATTTTTGAGATCCAGAGGATGGGCATGGGAGAAATGTACTAAAGCAGATTTGAGGTTAGTTTCAGTAATGTAGAGTTCAAGGCTTTGAGAAGATGATTTGTGAGATGGGTCTCACATGTGACCTTTGAATTCACTCAGAATGATGGCAAGAGTTGGAGGGGAATAAAGAACCATGAGCCGGGTTCTGGGAAGTTATCTGAAGGCTAATAGATGACAATAATAAGAAAAGACAAAGGTGAAATGACTAGATCAGATCATGAATTTTGGGGAAGAATGAAAACAATGGCCATATTAGGACAGTAGAATTTTGATTCACTTCTTGTGGTCCTTTGGCATGTGAAAATGTGAAATAAGGAACAGGCCCTTTACATGATGAAGCTTCTATGAAGCAGCATCTTTCATAAGTTATGTGTCAGCTAAGATGAGGAGCAGCAGAAGAAATTTTGTGGAGATGCTGAGGTTGTAGAGTGCCAGCCTTGTGTGCAATTTAATGAGAGGTCTCCAGGGCAGAGGTTCAGAGGAACGTTGGCATTGAGGAAAGCCAGTTGACATAAAAAGTACTGAACAAGGTGTGATGGTCAATACATGTTCGGAGGGTTCCTATGATGTGCCAGACCTTGTGCTGGGTTTGGCCTTGGTGATACCGTCATGCACAAGTCAGCCTCAGCCCCTGCTTTTGCAGAAGTAGAAGGCATCTAAATTCGGCCTCCAGAGGATGAATGAGAGGCACAGAAAGAAATGACTAGCCTCAAGCTTTCCAAAATGTTAAATAATGGGTTTCCCCTAGTTGAGACTGGACCATAACATTAAAAAAAAATCTTTATTGGGTTGAAGAAGGGAGTGAGAGACTGTGAGATAATAGAAAAAATATATATTGCTCTCCACTCTACCATGCCTGTCTCCTGGCATAGAACTCCTAAAACTCCTGTAATTTCCTAAGTGATAAGAGCACTAGGAGCATCTTTTGTTCTAATATTTGATCTTTGACCCTGCTTCCTGAAACAGAGTTCCTAAATCCTTTGAAATTTCCTGGGTAATGGCAGTATCTTTTGTTCTAGTCAGGTGAGCTCCTAGATGGGAGCTAGTCAACAGAAAGGCCAAGCCATGATTAGAAGCTTGAAATTTTCATCCCCATCTCCTATCCTACTTGGAAGAGAAGAAGGACTGGAAATTGAGTTAATGATTCATCATGCCTAAATGATGAAAATCTATAAAAATCGCAAAGGTACAAAGTTCAGGGAGCTTATGGGTAGCTGAGCATATGGAGGTGCTGGGAGAGGGGTGCACCTGGAGAGGACATGGAACCTCTGCACACTTTCTCCATACCTTGTTCTATACATCTCTCCATCTGGCCTCTATCATATCCTTTTATAATAAACTGGTAAACATTAAGTAAATTGTTTCTCTGAGTTCTGTGATATTCTCTAGCAAATTAGACCAAGGAGAGAGTCATGGAAACCTTTAATTTATAGCTGATTGGTCAGAAGCACAGGTAACTACCGGGACTTTCAATTAGCATCTGAAGTGTGGTAGTGGAAAGAGGGAGTCTTGTGGGATCTAATGCTGTCTCCAGTAAATAGTGTCAGAAATGAGTTAAATTGCAGGACACCCAGATAATGTTACAGAATAGCTTGGTATAGGGAAAATCCTCATACATTTGGTATCAAAGGTGTTGTAAAGTGTGGTGGTAGTGTGAGACGGAAGGAGAAACACAGGAGTAATGTAGGTTTTCTTTACACAGACTTTAAAGCCAAGCCAATTCACCTTTCAGTGCTTTACCTTTTAAATATAAAATCCACCCCCATACAATTTTTAAAGCTAAATATTTTATTTTCCTCCTTCAGTTGTTTGAATTATTATGAAAATCAGATTAGGCAGGTAAGGATGGAGCTTAAATTTCCATTAAAAGAGCTTGACTATGTTGATTTGGCTACAAAAATCAGGCTTACATTGTTGGGGCAAAATACTTGACTGTATGGTTCTTGAACTGTACATTGTTTTCCATTGTATCTCCAGGGTCTGGAACCTCATAGACAATTTATAAATATTTGTGGAATAAAATAATTTAATCTTACAAAGAATCAGCAAGTGGGTGGGGTAGAGGATGACATGTATAATAGGAGGAAAGAATTTTAAATTTGGGAAGGACAGCAATCAAGGACAAGTTCACCAATATGAATTAAGAGTCAACATGAGTTGAAATTTCTTTCTGGCCCTATCCAGGTTCAGTTATGAAATAAAAAATAAATGCTCTCTCTTGCTTTGCACCTTTCTCTCTCTACCAACTGCTGCTTCATTCACTACCTAAAATGAACAAAACTACCCAACATGGAGAAGGTTTCCAGATCATCAAATGACTGGGCTATGTTAAAGGTCTAGTCAGTCGGGAACTAACTTCATTTGGTCAAGGCAATCCCAATGGTGGTTGGGAACTTTTCAGTAGGTTCAGGGATGCTGCCACTTCCATCCATGTGGAAGAAGAGATGATAAGTCAAATGAAGATAGTTAGATATGTATTTGGCAAAATCCAGAAGAAGTAGAAATATTTTTACTTTAAATGTACCTCATTTATGAAGACAGATCAATCTAAATGGTAATCTCTTAATTTCCTAACTCATCTAGTTTGTGTTACTGTATATATGCAAATACAGAGGCAATAATAACCATTATCAGAAGGACACATATTTTAAATTTTTATTGTGGTAGCAATGGCTCTTTGTATAAATCATGGGACATGTGTGCCCATTTTATGGGATCTGAACCATACTTTTTACTGTTTTCATTTATTAAAGAGATTTATTGTCATTATAATTTTTACTTTTATGACCCACTTATTGTCTTATATATGGATTTTTTTTTTTTTATGCCAAGACCTTCTTCAGGGACAAAAATCCCATATTACGATATATAAAAAAATATGATCTGCTCTGTAATGTTGTACTTTATGTTCTATTTCCAAGGGCAGAATATGACAAAAGATGTCTGGATAATTCAAATCAGAAGAAAAAGAAATTAATTGAAAATCAGTTTAGATAACTACTTCAGTTCTTTCTTCTATTTGTAAAAATATTACAATTGCATACTATTTCTCAATTATTTTCTTGTGTTTAGCCCAAGCTCAAAATGTAGGAAGGAAAAGACCAACAATCTTTAGGGTGCTTTAAATGCTTGCAGTTGTGGCTCTCAAACAGAATAGGCATAAAACTCACCTCAGAGATTTTAAGTCAAGAATTACAGGATGTGACCTGGAAAAATGCATTTAATGAACAGTCTACCTGATTTTGACACAAGTGGTCTTAGGTCACATGTTGAGAAACTCCGGATTAAGAGGACATGAATACTGTACTTACATAGCCTATGAACCACAGGCAGAAAGCAGGAGAGATCCATTCTCTAGCATGCATTCCACAGTCAATCCAAATAGCGATTTTGGCTGCTTGTTGCTTTTTAGAAACCTGCCCAAAGAAAACAAAAAATAATAAGGCACAGGATAATAACTTTCATTTATTTAGGGCTTATTTTTAATCTTTTTAACAAATCTATGATATATGCATTATTTTCTTAATTCATTTGAGAATTTTCAAAGAAAATTAAAAGCTGGTGAGATTAAAGGTGAAGAGATAAAATTACTGAGATCATATAGCTGATGAGCATCAGAATTAAGGTTTGAAGCCAGAACTCTGGATTTAAAGCTCTTTTATTCCCTAGCATTTAATTAGTTATAACTAGTGGACATGTAGAAGTAGCGGTCAGAGAACTGGTATTTCAGGCACTTTGTGTGTGTGTGTGTGTGTATGTGTGTTTAAATTAAATTAAATTATTTTATTTTATTTTTGTTACAGATGTTTCTCCTTTTTTACCCTATTGACACCCTCCTCCCCATTCCCCCAACCCCATCCCCGGCTTTGTTGTCAATGTGCATTGGTTATGCATACATGCATAAAAGATCTGTGGTTTATCTCTTCCCTCCCCTCACCACCCCCTCTTCTGAGGGTTGTCAGTCTGTACCCTACTTCCACATCTCTGGCCCTACCCTATTCCTCAGACTGTTATGTTCATTATATGCCATAAATAAGTGAGATCATGTGGTATTTGTCTTTTTCTGCTTGGCTTGTTTTACTTAGGATAATACTTTCCAGGTCCCTCCACGTCATCTCAAAGGAAAAGAGATCTTTCTTTCTCACAGCTGCATAGTACTCCATGTATATGTACCATGGCTTTTTAATCCATTTTTCTACTGATGGACACTTGGGCTGTTTCCAGATCTTAGCTATTATAAATAATGCTGCTATGAACATGGGGGTACATATATTCTTTCTGATTGGTGTTTTCAGGCTTCTTAGGGTATATTCCTAAAAGTGGGATCACTGGGTCAAATGGAAGTTCAATTTTTAATTTTTGGAGGTAACACCATATTGTTTTCCATAGTGGCTGCACCAGTCTGCATTCCCACCAGCAGTGTACTAGAGTCCCCTTTTCTCCACACCCTCGCCTACACTTGTTTGATGATTTGTTGATGGCGGCCATTCTGACAGGTGTAAGGTGATACTTCATTGTTGTTTTAATTTGCATCTCTCTGATGATTAGTGATGTTGAGCATTTCTTCATATGTCTCTTGGCCATTTGTATGTCCTGTTTGGAGAGGTGTCTATTCAGTTCCTCTGCCCATTTTTTAATCGGGTTCTTTGTCTTCCTTTTCTTGAGTTGTATGAGTACTCTATATATTTGGGAAATTAACTCCTTATCTGATGGATCATTGGCAATGATGTTCTCCCATACAGTGGGTTGCCTTTCCATTTTGATGGTTGTTTCTTTTGATGTACAGAAGCTTTTTAGTTTGATGTAGTCCCATGTGTTTATTTTTTCCTTTGTTTCTGTTGCCTTAGGTGGTGTATCAGTGAAAATTCTGCTGCATATGATGTTCGATATTTTGTTGCTTACGTTTTCTTCTAGAATTTTTATGGATTCATGAGTCACGTTGAAGTCTTTTATCCATTTTGAGTTTATTTTTGTGTATGGTGTAAGTTGATGGTCTAGTTTCATTTTTATGCATGTAGCTGTCCAATTTTCCCAAAACCATTGATTAAAAAGCTGTCTTTACTCCACTGTATGCTCTTTCACCTTTGTCAAATATTAATTGAGCATATTGCCTTGGGTCCATTTCTGGGTTTGCTATTCTGTTCCACTGGTCTATATGCCTGTTCTTGTGCCAGTACCAGGCTGTTTTGATTACAGTGGCTTTGTAGTATAATCTGATATCTGGTATTGTGATCCCACCTACTTTGTCCTTCTTTTTCAAGATTGCTGTGGCTATTTGAGGTCTTTTTTGGTTCCATATGAACTTTTGAAGTATTTGTTCCAGTTCTGTGAAATATGTCATTGGTATTTTGATGGGGATTGCATCGAATTTATAGATTGCTTTGGGTAATATGGACATTATAATGATGTTAATTCTTCCAATCCATGAACAAGATATGTGCTTTCACTTTTTTATACCTTCCCCCATTTCTTTTTTCAATATCCTGTAGTTTTCTGCAAATAGGTCTTTTACTTTTTGGTTAAGTTTATTCCTAGGTATCTTAATATTTTTGCTGTGATGGTAAATGGGACTGTTTTTTTAGCTTCTCTTTCTATGAGTTCATCATTGGTGTATAAGAATATCGTCAATTTCTTGATGTTAATTTTGCATCCTGCAACTTTGCCAAATTCATTTTTTAAGTCTAGTAGATTTTTGATGGAGTCTTTAGTATTTTCTATGTATAAAATCATGTCATCTGCAAATAATGACAATTTCACTTCCTCCTATCCAGTTTGAATCCCTTTTATTTTTTCTTGCTGTCTGATTGCTGTGTCTAAGGCTTCCACTAATATGTTAAATAAGAGTGGTGAAAGAGGGCATCCCTGTCTTGTTCCTGTCCTTAAGGGAAATTATTTTAATTTTTGCCCATTGAGTATGATGTTGGCTGTAGGTCTTTCATATACGGCCTTTATTATGTCAAGATATGATCCCTCTATTCCCACATTGCTGAGTGTTTTTATCAGAAATGGGTGCTTTTTCAGCATCTATTGATATGATCATGTGGTTTTTATTCTTTATTTTATTTATGTGGTGTATTACATTTATTGTTTTGTGAATATTGTACTAACCTTGCATTCCTGGGATGAATCCCACTTGGTCATGGTAAATAGTTTTTTTGATGTATTGCTGGATCCGATTTGCTAGTATTTTGTTCAGGATTTTAGCATCTATGTTTATCAGGGATATTGGCCTGTGGTTTTCTTTTTTTGTAGTCTCTTTTTTTTTGGTTTTAGAATTAGAATTATGCTGGCCCCATAAAATAAGTTTGGAAGTCTTTCTTCTTCTTGAATTTTTTGAATAGTTTGAGAAGAATGAGTGTTAGTTCTTTTTTGAATGTTTGGTAAAACCACCCCATGAAGGCCTCCGGGCATGGGCTTTTGTTTCCTGGGAGAGTCTTTTTTTTTTTTTTTTTTTTTTTAAATCTTTCTTGTTGGATGTAAAATGTATTTTAGATGTTCTACATTTTTCTCCCATTGACTCCCTCCTCCTCACTCCCGCCCCCCTCCTGCCTTTTCCCACACAATTGTCTGTGTCCATTGGTTATGCATATAAGTTCTTTGGTTTATTTCTTCCCACACCCCAACCCCTTTCTTTTTGAGGTTTGTCAGTTTAGCAATGAATTTGGACTTCTTAATCTCTTCACCTTTTTCACCCATTCCCCCAACCCCCCTCCCATCTGGCAACCAACGAAATGTTCTCTGTATCTATGAGAATGTTTCTGTTCTGCCTGTTCATTTTGTCTGTAGATTCTATTGTTGATATATATGTATTCACTGCCATTTTGTTTGTTCACATATTTTATCCTTTTCTTCAAAAAGACCCTTCATCATTTCATATAATAACGGTTTGGTGTTGATGAACTCCATTAACTTTTTCTTGTCTGGGAAACACTTTATATGGTCATCGACTCTAAATGACAGCTTTGCAGGATAGAGTAATCTTGGTTGTAGGTTCTTGCTGTTCATCACTCTGAATATTTCTTGCCACTCCCTTCTGGCCTGCAAAGTTTCTTTTGAGAAATCAGCTGACAGCCTTATGGGAACTCCCTTTAGGTAACTAGCGGCCTTTCTCTGACTGCTTTTAAGATTCTCTCTTTGTGTTGAACCTTTTGCATTTTGATGATGATGTGTCTTGGTATGGGCCTCTTGGGGTTCATCTTTTTTGGGACTCTCTGTGCTTCCTGGACTTGTATGTCTGTTTCCTTCACCAAGTTAGAAAAGTTTTCTGCCATTATTGTTTCAAACAGATTTTCCATTTCTTGTTCTCTCTCTTCTCCTTCTGGCACCCCCAAGATGCAAATCTTGGCATGCTTGAAGTTGTCCCAGAGGCTCCTTACACTATCCTCATATTTTTGGATTCTTTTTTCTTTTCTGTTTGGGTATTTTTTGCTTCTTATATTCCAAATCGATACTTTGCTTCTTGGATTTACGTACTCTACTATTGAAACCGTGTAAATTATTCTTTATTTCAGTTAATGCCTCCTTCAATTCTGACTGTGCATCCATCATTTCTGACTGGTCCTTTTTTATGCTCTTGAGGCCCTCACTAAGTTCACTGAGCATCCTTATAAGCAGTATTTTGAACTCAGCATCTGTTAGGTTGCTTATCTCCATTTTGGTTAGTTCTTTTCTTGGGGTTTTGTTCTGTTCTTTCATTTGCGACCTGTTTCTTTGTCTCCTCATTTTGGCTGCCTCCCTGTGTTTGGTTTTGTGTATTACTTAACGAGAGGTTTGGGGCTAGCTGAGACCAGATGCTGCTCATTTGAAAGAATTTAGGAAAAACCTGAATCAGGATCCAAGACAGGCCAATCCTATGGTTAAGCAAGTGGCAACAGCTTGGGTGGGCCTGAAAGTTGGGTGGGGTGGGGCGGGGCCTCAGGGAGTCACCAGGGTGGGGCTACCAGTGTGAGTCAGTTTGCTGGCGTCCCAGATATGGAGGCTGTCTGCCGCCCCAGGGAAGGGCTCACCAAAGGAACAAAGGCCTCTGACAGCACGTTTGTCCTGGAGAAAGCCCCCCTCTCCAGCCCTTGCTCCAGGGCCAAACAGCTCAATTCTTCCCTTTATGTCTCTGGTGCCCCTCTAGCTGCCTCCCCTCCAAGCTTAGAGGGAGAGAGCTGGATAGGTTCGTGCGCAGGCCCTTTAAGGAACTGCCTGGGGCTCCAGCTGCACCCGCTTCCCTGAGCCTCAGTTCCTTCTGGTTTTTCCAACCAGAAGTTATGGGGATTTCTCTTCCTGGCACTGGAACCCTGAGTAGGGCACCTGGTGTGGGACAGGGACCCCTCAGTCCTCAGGAAGGACTTTCCTAGCTGAGGTATCCTCCTGATTTTTATCCGCCACACATGGGTGTGGGAACAGCCCTTCTTGCCACCGGCCCTCA